TTCAAGCAGATGTGAGAGCATGCATCGTTCAAGCAGATGTGAGAGCATGCATCGTTCAAGCAGATGTGAGAGCATGCATCGTTCAAGCAGATGTGAGAGCATGCATCGTTCAAGCAGATGTGAGAGCATGCATCGTTCAAGCAGATGTGAGAGCATGCATCGTTCAAGCAGATGTGAGAGCATGCATCGTTCAAGCAGATGTGAGAGCATGCATCGTTCAAGCAGATGTGAGAGCATGCATCGTTCAAGCAGATGTGAGAGCATGCATCGTTCAAGCAGATGTGAGAGCATGCATCGTTCAAGCAGATGTGAGAGCATGCATCGTTCAAGCAGATGTGAGAGCATGCATCGTTCAAGCAGATGTGAGAGCATGCATCGTTCAAGCAGATGTGAGAGCATGCATCGTTCAAGCAGATGTGAGAGCATGCATCGTTCAAGCAGATGTGAGAGCATGCATCGTTCAAGCAGATGTGAGAGCATGCATCGTTCAAGCAGATGTGAGAGCATGCATCGTTCAAGCAGATGTGAGAGCATGCATCGTTCAAGCAGATGTGAGAGCATGCATCGTTCAAGCAGATGTGAGAGCATGCATCGTTCAAGCAGATGTGAGAGCATGCATCGTTCAAGCAGATGTGAGAGCATGCATCGTTCAAGCAGATGTGAGAGCATGCATCGTTCAAGCAGATGTGAGAGCATGCATCGTTCAAGCAGATGTGAGAGCATGCATCGTTCAAGCAGATGTGAGAGCATGCATCGTTCAAGCAGATGTGAGAGCATGCATCGTTCAAGCAGATGTGAGAGCATGCATCGTTCAAGCAGATGTGAGAGCATGCATCGTTCAAGCAGATGTGAGAGCATGCATCGTTCAAGCAGATGTGAGAGCATGCATCGTTCAAGCAGATGTGAGAGCATGCATCGTTCAAGCAGATGTGAGAGCATGCATCGTTCAAGCAGATGTGAGAGCATGCATCGTTCAAGCAGATGTGAGAGCATGCATCGTTCAAGCAGATGTGAGAGCATGCATCGTTCAAGCAGATGTGAGAGCATGCATCGTTCAAGCAGATGTGAGAGCATGCATCGTTCAAGCAGATGTGAGAGCATGCATCGTTCAAGCAGATGTGAGAGCATGCATCGTTCAAGCAGATGTGAGAGCATGCATCGTTCAAGCAGATGTGAGAGCATGCATCGTTCAAGCAGATGTGAGAGCATGCATCGTTCAAGCAGATGTGAGAGCATGCATCGTTCAAGCAGATGTGAGAGCATGCATCGTTCAAGCAGATGTGAGAGCATGCATCGTTCAAGCAGATGTGAGAGCATGCATCGTTCAAGCAGATGTGAGAGCATGCATCGTTCAAGCAGATGTGAGAGCATGCATCGTTCAAGCAGATGTGAGAGCATGCATCGTTCAAGCAGATGTGAGAGCATGCATCGTTCAAGCAGATGTGAGAGCATGCATCGTTCAAGCAGATGTGAGAGCATGCATCGTTCAAGCAGATGTGAGAGCATGCATCGTTCAAGCAGATGTGAGAGCATGCATCGTTCAAGCAGATGTGAGAGCATGCATCGTTCAAGCAGATGTGAGAGCATGCATCGTTCAAGCAGATGTGAGAGCATGCATCGTTCAAGCAGATGTGAGAGCATGCATCGTTCAAGCAGATGTGAGAGCATGCATCGTTCAAGCAGATGTGAGAGCATGCATCGTTCAAGCAGATGTGAGAGCATGCATCGTTCAAGCAGATGTGAGAGCATGCATCGTTCAAGCAGATGTGAGAGCATGCATCGTTCAAGCAGATGTGAGAGCATGCATCGTTCAAGCAGATGTGAGAGCATGCATCGTTCAAGCAGATGTGAGAGCATGCATCGTTCAAGCAGATGTGAGAGCATGCATCGTTCAAGCAGATGTGAGAGCATGCATCGTTCAAGCAGATGTGAGAGCATGCATCGTTCAAGCAGATGTGAGAGCATGCATCGTTCAAGCAGATGTGAGAGCATGCATCGTTCAAGCAGATGTGAGAGCATGCATCGTTCAAGCAGATGTGAGAGCATGCATCGTTCAAGCAGATGTGAGAGCATGCATCGTTCAAGCAGATGTGAGAGCATGCATCGTTCAAGCAGATGTGAGAGCATGCATCGTTCAAGCAGATGTGAGAGCATGCATCGTTCAAGCAGATGTGAGAGCATGCATCGTTCAAGCAGATGTGAGAGCATGCATCGTTCAAGCAGATGTGAGAGCATGCATCGTTCAAGCAGATGTGAGAGCATGCATCGTTCAAGCAGATGTGAGAGCATGCATCGTTCAAGCAGATGTGAGAGCATGCATCGTTCAAGCAGATGTGAGAGCATGCATCGTTCAAGCAGATGTGAGAGCATGCATCGTTCAAGCAGATGTGAGAGCATGCATCGTTCAAGCAGATGTGAGAGCATGCATCGTTCAAGCAGATGTGAGAGCATGCATCGTTCAAGCAGATGTGAGAGCATGCATCGTTCAAGCAGATGTGAGAGCATGCATCGTTCAAGCAGATGTGAGAGCATGCATCGTTCAAGCAGATGTGAGAGCATGCATCGTTCAAGCAGATGTGAGAGCATGCATCGTTCAAGCAGATGTGAGAGCATGCATCGTTCAAGCAGATGTGAGAGCATGCATCGTTCAAGCAGATGTGAGAGCATGCATCGTTCAAGCAGATGTGAGAGCATGCATCGTTCAAGCAGATGTGAGAGCATGCATCGTTCAAGCGGATGTGAGAGCATGCATCGTTCAAGCGGATGTGAGAGCATGCATCGTTCAAGCGGATGTGAGAGCATGCATCGTTCAAGCAGATGTGAGAGCATGCATCGTTCAAGCAGATGTGAGAGCATGCATCGTTCAAGCAGATGTGAGAGCATGCATCGTTCAAGCAGATGTGAGAGCATGCATCGTTCAAGCAGATGTGAGAGCATGCATCGTTCAAGCAGATGTGAGAGCATGCATCGTTCAAGCAGATGTGAGAGCATGCATCGTTCAAGCAGATGTGAGAGCATGCATCGTTCAAGCAGATGTGAGAGCATGCATCGTTCAAGCAGATGTGAGAGCATGCATCGTTCAAGCAGATGTGAGAGCATGCATCGTTCAAGCAGATGTGAGAGCATGCATCGTTCAAGCAGATGTGAGAGCATGCATCGTTCAAGCAGATGTGAGAGCATGCATCGTTCAAGCAGATGTGAGAGCATGCATCGTTCAAGCAGATGTGAGAGCATGCATCGTTCAAGCAGATGTGAGAGCATGCATCGTTCAAGCAGATGTGAGAGCATGCATCGTTCAAGCAGATGTGAGAGCATGCATCGTTCAAGCAGATGTGAGAGCATGCATCGTTCAAGCAGATGTGAGAGCATGCATCGTTCAAGCAGATGTGAGAGCATGCATCGTTCAAGCAGATGTGAGAGCATGCATCGTTCAAGCAGATGTGAGAGCATGCATCGTTCAAGCAGATGTGAGAGCATGCATCGTTCAAGCAGATGTGAGAGCATGCATCGTTCAAGCAGATGTGAGAGCATGCATCGTTCAAGCAGATGTGAGAGCATGCATCGTTCAAGCAGATGTGAGAGCATGCATCGTTCAAGCAGATGTGAGAGCATGCATCGTTCAAGCAGATGTGAGAGCATGCATCGTTCAAGCAGATGTGAGAGCATGCATCGTTCAAGCAGATGTGAGAGCATGCATCGTTCAAGCAGATGTGAGAGCATGCATCGTTCAAGCAGATGTGAGAGCATGCATCGTTCAAGCAGATGTGAGAGCATGCATCGTTCAAGCAGATGTGAGAGCATGCATCGTTCAAGCAGATGTGAGAGCATGCATCGTTCAAGCAGATGTGAGAGCATGCATCGTTCAAGCAGATGTGAGAGCATGCATCGTTCAAGCAGATGTGAGAGCATGCATCGTTCAAGCAGATGTGAGAGCATGCATCGTTCAAGCAGATGTGAGAGCATGCATCGTTCAAGCGGATGTGAGAGCATGCATCGTTCAAGCGGATGTGAGAGCATGCATCGTTCAAGCAGATGTGAGAGCATGCATCGTTCAAGCAGATGTGAGAGCATGCATCGTTCAAGCAGATGTGAGAGCATGCATCGTTCAAGCGGATGTGAGAGCATGCATCGTTCAAGCAGATGTGAGAGCATGCATCGTTCAAGCAGATGTGAGAGCATGCATCGTTCAAGCAGATGTGAGAGCATGCATCGTTCAAGCAGATGTGAGAGCATGCATCGTTCAAGCAGATGTGAGAGCATGCATCGTTCAAGCAGATGTGAGAGCATGCATCGTTCAAGCAGATGTGAGAGCATGCATCGTTCAAGCAGATGTGAGAGCATGCATCGTTCAAGCAGATGTGAGAGCATGCATCGTTCAAGCAGATGTGAGAGCATGCATCGTTCAAGCAGATGTGAGAGCATGCATCGTTCAAGCAGATGTGAGAGCATGCATCGTTCAAGCAGATGTGAGAGCATGCATCGTTCAAGCAGATGTGAGAGCATGCATCGTTCAAGCAGATGTGAGAGCATGCATCGTTCAAGCAGATGTGAGAGCATGCATCGTTCAAGCAGATGTGAGAGCATGCATCGTTCAAGCAGATGTGAGAGCATGCATCGTTCAAGCAGATGTGAGAGCATGCATCGTTCAAGCAGATGTGAGAGCATGCATCGTTCAAGCAGATGTGAGAGCATGCATCGTTCAAGCAGATGTGAGAGCATGCATCGTTCAAGCAGATGTGAGAGCATGCATCGTTCAAGCAGATGTGAGAGCATGCATCGTTCAAGCAGATGTGAGAGCATGCATCGTTCAAGCAGATGTGAGAGCATGCATCGTTCAAGCAGATGTGAGAGCATGCATCGTTCAAGCAGATGTGAGAGCATGCATCGTTCAAGCAGATGTGAGAGCATGCATCGTTCAAGCAGATGTGTCGTCGTCACGCATTCCGCCCGCTATTGCTCATCAACCCAATCCAACCCAACCCAACCCAACCTAACCCCAGGAGCATCACCACGTGAAAGGGGTGATCAAGAAGGCAGCGCAGAGAGCAGGCAAGTGGGCCGCAGCCATGGGCACGAAAAGCTGCCCTCCCTGCCCTGACTGCTCTCTGCAGCAACTACAACAGCAGCAGCTGCTGCTGCAGGGTGGGAATGGGAAACACATGAAGCAACTGCAGCAGCAGCGGCAGGAGGAGGAGGAAGGATTGGCAGAGATTGACTTGCGGTTTCCCTCAGCCTCATCCGACTCCTCTGGATCTGCTCTTCGCGTCGTCGGACCGCTCTGCACCGCATCGGGTTTCGTCGACTGCGGCTGCCCGTACGGCGAGTCGGGCAGGGTGGAATTTTCTGGAGGGCTGCCAGGGCAGGAGCAGCACGAGAGTGAGGAGGGGGAAGGGGAGAAGAAGCCTCTGTGTGTGGACGGCAGTTCTCCGGGCAGATGGACAGGATTCGACCAATGGGAGGCTGACAACTGTCAGTACAGGTCAGTAAATGGGTTGGCTTTTGCTTGCCCTGTTAGTGCATAATACTTTATGACTGGACTCAAAAGTTGTTCTAGATTCCAGGCTACCCAGTATCCTCACATCCTCCCCCTCGTCCCCTTCTCTCTTCCCAGGGACATCCCTCTCCCTTAGCTACACCAGTGCCTTTTCTTCCCAATGCTGCTGCCTTGCTGTTGCTCCGCCCACTGCTGCTGAAGGAGGAAACACAAGTGGGGAAGGCATGTGAAAAGGAATGTGAAGAGAGAGAGGAGAGGAAGAGATGCTGACAAGGAAGCTGACAAAGGGAAATTGGGGGCAGAGAAGGCTTGAGCGAGAAGCAATATTATTAGAGAAGCCGTTATTATTAGAGAGGCCGTTACCATTAGAGAGGTCGTTACCATTAGAGAGGCCGTTACCATTAGAGAGGCCGTTACCATTAAAGAGGGCGTTACCATTAGAGAGGCCGTTACCATTAGAGAGGCCGTTACCATTGGAGAGGCCGTTACCATTAGAGAGGCTGTTACCATTAGAGAGGCCGTTACCATTACAGATGCGGTTACCATTAGAGAGGCCGTTACCATTAGAGAGGCCGTTACCATTAGAGAGGCCGTTACCATTAGAGAGGCCGTTACCATTAGAGAGGCCGTTACCATTAAAGAGGCCGTTACCATTAGAGAGGACGTTACCATTAGAGAGGCCGTTACCATTAGAGAGGCCGTTACCATTAGAGACGTCGTTACCATTAGAGAGGCCGTTACCATTAGAGAGGTCGTTACCATTAGAGAGGCCGTTACCATTAGAGAGGCCGTGGGCAGCTCCAGGTGGGTGCATTTCTCTGGGGACCACACCTCCCGCCTCCTCTCGTCTGCTTGCATCCCCTTCCCCCCTTCCCCTTTTCTGCACGCCAGAGAAATCTGGCTCCCGGAGCTACACCAGTGTATCGGCGGCAAGTGGGTGCATTTCTTTGGGGACCACACCTCCCGCCTCCCCATGTTTACCTGCATGTTCCCCCTCTCCCCTTTCCTCCCTAACCCTTCCCTGCCTCCCTCCCAGGCGCATCCCTCCCAGGCACATCCCTTCCAGGCACATCCCTCCCAGGCACATCCCTCCCAGGCACATCCCTCCCAGGCGCATCCCTCCCAGGCACATCCCTCCCAGGCACATCCCTCCCAGGCGCATCCCTCCCAGGCACATCCCTCCCAGGCACATCCCTCCCAGGCGCATCCCTCCCAGGCACATCCCTCCCAGGCACATCCCTCCCAGGCACATCCCTCCCAGGCACATCCCTCCCAGGCACATCCCTCTCCCCGAGCTGCATCAGTGCCTGGGCACCAAGTGGGTGCATTTCTTTGGGGACCACACCTCGCGCCTTTTTTGGCCCTCCATTCCCTCCCCCCTCTTTCCCTCTCCCTTTTCTCTCCTTCCCCTCCCAGGGACACTACACAACCCGAGCTACACCAGTGCCTGGGCACCAAGTGGGTGCATCTCTTTGGGGACCACACCTCGCACCTCCTCGCCTCTACTTGCATGCCCTCGCTCTCCACCTTCCCTTCCCCCTTCCCCTTTTCCCGCACGCCAGGGATATTTCTCTCCCCGAGCTACACCAGTGCCTGGGCACCAAGTGGGTGCATTTCACATGCTGAGCAGTGGACTCAGCTCCCTTGCCCTACCTTCCCCGTTTTCCCTCCTACCAGGGACATTTCACAACCCGAGCTGCACCAGTGCCTGGGCACCAAGTGGGTGCATTTCACATGCTGAGCAGTGGACTCAGCTCCCTTGCCCTACCTTCCCCGTTTTCCCTCCTACCAGGGACATTTCACAACCCGAGCTGCACCAGTGCCTGGGCAGCAAGTGGGTGCATTTCACATGCTGAGCAGTGGACTCAGCTCCCTTGCCCTACCTTCCCCGTTTCCCCTCCTACCAGGGACATTTCACAACCCGAGCTGCACCAGTGCCTGGGCACCAAGTGGGTGCATTTCTCTGGGGACCACACCTCCCGCCACCTTACCGCTGCTTGCATGCCGCCCCTCTCGCCCTCTCCACCTTCCCCCTTCCACCTTCCCCCTTCCCCCTTCCCGCTTTTCTGCACGCTAGGGACATTTCACAGCCCGAGCTGCACCAGTGCCTGGGCACCAAGTGGGTGCATTTCTCAGGGGACCACACCTCGCGCCTCCTGGCCCTCCATTTCGCGCGCCTGCTGGGGCTGCAGAGGCAGGGCGCGGAGGGGGGGGGGACGGGGAGGAGGGGGAGGACGGGGGGAGATGGGGACGATGGGGATCACACCTCCTGCCTCACCCCTACCTGCATGTCTTCCACCTTCCCTTTTTCCCACCAGGGACATTCCACAAGCTGAGATGCATCAATGTCTCAACTCCAAGTGGGTGCACTTCTTTGGAGACCACACCTCCCGCCTCCTCGCCCTGCATTTCGTGCGCCTGCTGGGGCTGCAGCAGCAGGGCGGGGAGGGGGAGGACGGGGAGGAGGGGGGAGACGCGGACGGGCCGTTTGGGGGAGGCGGGGGAGGGGAAGGGGAGGGTGGGGCGGGAGGCGAAGGGGGGGACGGCGGAGAGGGGGGAGAGGGTGGGGAGGGGTTGGGGGAAGGTGGGGGAAAGGGGGGGGAGGCAGGGGCGCGAGGGCCTGGGGTGGCAGAGGGAGTGGAAGAGGAGGGGGACGGAGAGGGGGGTGGGGTGGGTGCTGGTGGTGCTGGTGGGGGGGGCAGGGGGCGGGGGGAGGTTACTGCAGATGATGTGGGGGAGGTGGTGAGGTGGAGGAGAAGGCTGGCCTTGAGTATTGAGATGTCTCGAAGGTCAGTGGCAGGAAGTGGAGAGACGGAGGGGAAACTGGAAGAATGGGAAGGGCTCGTGAGCAGTGGCAGTAGCAGCAGCAACATGAGTAGCAGTGACATGAGCAGCAGCAGTGAGAGCAGCAGCAGGCGGAGGAGACTAGCAGCAGCGACGGAGCTGGGCGGCAGTGGCAGGGGGGGAGTGGCAGCAGCAGCGGGCAGCGGCAGCGGCACTGGCAGCAGCAGTGGCAGCAGCAGTGGCAGCGGCAGCAGCACTGAGAGCAGCAGCAGGCGGAGGAAGCTAGCAGCAGCCACGGAGCTGGGCGGCAGTGGCAGGGGGGGAGTGGCAGCAACAGCGGGCAGCGGCAGCGGCACTGGCAGCAGCAGTGGCAGCAGCAGTGGCAGCGGCAGCAGCACTGAGAGCAGCAGCAGGCGGAGGAGACTAGCAGCAGCCACGGAGCTGGGCGGCAGTGGCAGGGGGGGAGGCGGGCCGAGGGTGACGTATCTGTTCCGCGGCAAGATGGCGCGGCAGCGACACCCCGAGGTGGGTGCAGTGCAGGCACGTGGGGCTGTAGGGGAGTGAGCAGGCACGTGGGGCTGTAGGGGAGTGAGCAGGCACGTGGGGCTGTAGGGGAGTGAGCAGGCACGTGGGGCTGTAGGGGAGTGAGCAGGCACGTGGGGGGGCTGTAGGGGAGTGAGCAGGCACGTGGGGCTGTAGGGGAGTGAGCAGGCACGTGGGGCTGTAGGGGAGTGAGCAGGCACGTGGGGCTGTAGGGGAGTGAGCAGGCACGTGGGGCTGTAGGGGAGTGAGCAGGCACGTGGGGCTGTAGAGGAGTGAGCAGGCACGTGGGGCTGTAGGGGAGTGAGCAGGCACGTGGGGCTGTAGGGGAGTGAGCAGGCACGTGGGGCTGTAGGGGAGTGAGCAGGCACGTGGGGCTGTAGGGGAGTGAGCAGGCACGTGGGGCTGTAGGGGAGTGAGCAGGCACGTGGGGCTGTAGGGGAGTGAGCAGGCACGTGGGGCTGTAGGGGAGTGAGCAGGCACGTGGGGCTGTAGGGGAGTGAGCAGGCACGTGAGAACCCGCCTCATAGGTGGATTCTTTTGGCTTTTGAAGGTACTATGAGGTGGGAAGGGGTGCGCAGGAGAGGCGGGTGATGCTTGGATCTGAGGGCCCAGTTTCTGGTGAACATGGTGATGGGAGTGGGGAAAGAGACACATGGCTGGTTGTAATCATCTCATCACACCACAATGGCATTTCCCCCTACTTTTCTCCTCCTCCCTCCCTCTTTCCCCTTCCTCCCCCTTCTTCCCCCCCCCCTTGCTTACCCCGCCCTGCTCCCAACAATTCCTTGTACAGCGGGGCACGTCGGAGCAGCGGGATCTGAACGAGGTGACTTTTGAGTCGACTAAAAATTCTCCCGCATTCCTTGCCCTCTTGCTTCCCTGCTCCCAACAATTCCTTGTACAGCCGCGCACAGCGGAGCAGCGGGATCTGAACGACCAGTTTCTTCTCAACATGACAAAGAAAGGCGGGCGGCCGGATTTTATTGTGATGGGCGTGGGGGTGCATGAGGTGATGGGGTGGGGGAAGAGGCCCCCTCCTGACCTCGACTTTGATGCGTTCCGGGAAGATACCGAGAAGCTTCTGGATCTGCTGAGACGGACGTATGGAGGAGGAAAGGTGGTGTGGTGGAAGGCGAATTACATCTGGCCAGGTAGGTTTCAGGTGGATTCAGGATCTCAAAGAAGGTAAGGGGAGTCGTTTTTGTTTTTTTTGGTTGGGCGCTTTGGGAAGAGTATTTGCAGCTGACTTTTGAGTGAGCTGGAAATACTCAAAACTCGCTTTGGGAAGAGAATTTCCATCCCCAGCGCTTCTGAGGTGCAGCGCCACCCAAACAAGCATCCATAATGATACCGTACTGTTATCTCCTGTTTTTCTCCTCCTCATTTCATATACTGGTTTGTGCAGGAGCCTTGCTGATGGAGGACTATTTTCAAATGAGGCAGTTTCACGAGCTTTATCAGGCGCACGCGTACAGAAGGTTCCAGGAAGCTGGCCACGTGGTGGCCGACTTTTACCAAACCACAGAGGACAGACCTGAGCTCGTGGTTTCACAAGATGGGACCCGATACAGTGCACAGGTCATAGCGCTACATGCAAAAATTATTGCTAATGTCTTGTGCAACCGCCAATAATCTCTGGCCTCGTCTTACCGAGTTACGGTACTCATTACTACCAGTTCATGTATAGTGCATTGTCAGGTCGTCTGATGAGTGGGTAAGGTAAAGTATCTCCCATGCAGCTGCACCATCATGCAACGGTTGCCTTGCCTTGTGTTACTGTGTGGGAGTAAATTAGCGGCTCCAACAACTGGACCCTTCAAAAGAATGCTTGGAACAGGAACAGAATACTGTCAGGGAATAATAATTCTGTAATAGAGTGTACATGTATATGTACTATCGTATAATAACACATACTTATACTAATACGTTAGTATGCCTAGGTACTCTGAATACTACCGGCCAGCCTGTAACCTAGCTATGAAAGAATGGTTATGATTGTAATGAAGCAAAAAGTGGCTGCTGGCACATCACATGATGCTGCTGCTGCTGCTGCTGCTGCTGCTGCTGCTGCTGCTGATAGGCGAACACTTCAACTCACATCACATCCCATCACATGGTGGTGCTTCTGTGCGCAGCAGCAGGCACGCACACTCGCACATGTGAGAAGCGCTGCTGCAGGCACATGAGGCCTTTTACAAACAGCTCCTGCCGCCTCGCTGCACCCATGCACTCCGCTGCTGCTCCGGCTGTTGCTCCCCCGGCTGTAGCGCAGACGGCAGGTGCTGCTGCTGGTGCTGCTGCAGTGGCACTCATGGAACCCTCAATATCTCCAGTCATATTGACATCCCATCACATGGTGGTGCTTCTGTGCGCAGCAGCAGGCACGCACACTCGCACATGTGAGAAGCGCTGCTGCAGGCACATGAGGCCTTTTACAAACAGCTCCTGCCGCCTCGCTGCACCCATGCACTCCGCTGCTGCTCCGGCTGTTGCTCCCCCGGCTGTAGCGCAGACGGCAGGTGCTGCTGCTGGTGCTGCTGCAGTGGCACTCATGGAACCCTCAATATCTCCAGTCATATTGACATCCTTCTCCTCTTCCTCCTCCCACTCCTCCTCCATCCCCTCATCCTCCATCTCCCCCTCCTCCCCCATCCCCTCCTCCATCTCCCCTTCAACCTCCTCTCCCTCATACCCCTCATCTCCCTCCTCCTCCTCTACCTCTTCCTCCTCCTCCTCATCCCCGGGAACTAAGCTTACTTGCAGTGATCTCAGGGACGGCATGCGGCACAGCATGGTGTGCAGCAGCAGCAGCGCCTCGGGTCGCTCCTCCTGCACGCGCACCTTAATCTCCGCCAGTTGCGGCCACGGATAATCCGCGCGCATCTCGTACCCGCGCTCCGCGTACCCACGCTCCGCGTACCCACCTTGCGCGCGCCCGCCGTCCGCGCGGAACGCGCCCGCAGCGGCCGCCCACGAGACGACGAGCTGCCACGGCAGCGCGCCGAAGCTGAGCGCCTTCAGGTTCGGACACGAGGCTGCGAGCCAGGTCAGGGAGAACACCCCAGCGGAAATCGCGCCGGGTCCCGCGGAGAAGAAGTCTAGCGAGAAAGATATTAAAGACGCGCCCGCGGTTTGAACGAGGGCTTTAATCGCCGCCCAGCCGAACGACCCCGCTTTAAGGTCCAGCGAGGCGAGGAGCGGCGAATCAGGGGCCGCCACCTCGAGCACGCTCGCGCTGGCGACCGCCACGTGGCGCAGAACCGGCGCGTCGCGCACGGACACGGAGCGCACGAACATGTCTCGAACGGATAGCGAGCGGAGCGCGCGGGCGTTGCGGAAGGAGCAGGACTCGGCGCGCAGGTACGCCAGCTCGACGTGCTCCACTGTAGCGGGCAGGCGAAGATTTATTCGCGGGCAGCCCGTGGCCATAAAGATGGAGAGCCGGCGAAGGTTCGGCGAAGCGTCCAGGACGGCTTGAAGGCTCTCATTGGACGCGTGAATCCAGGAGAGCGAGAGGTGCTCGAGGTGCCGCATTGGCGGGAGGTGACACGTCAGCAGGGAGGAAGAGAGCGAGAGGGAGCCTAGGGAGAGTGATCGCAGCGATGAACAGTGGCGTGCCACGTGGCGCAAATGCACGCTGAGATCCTCGTTCTCCCACACGTTCACCGTCATCCCGCCGGCGCCGCACGTGCTGCCGCATGAGCCGGCGCAACTGCCGCTGCGCGGCGGAGGTTGCAGGGAGCGCGAGAAGACGAGCGACTGTAATTGCGGTCCGACGTGGCGCATCCACGCTTCGAAGATGAATTCGCGCGGGTGCTGCTGCGGAGCCGCCACGTGGCAGCCGCAGAAACTGCAGCAGCCGTTCGAGTCGCTACCACTCGCGCCGGCGCCGGCGCACGCGGCGTGATGATGCCGCTCCGCCGCGCCGCTGCCGTCATTCTCCGCGCAAGAGCAGGAGACAGCGCCGTCGGCGGCCAACGCCGACGCCACGTGGAGGTGTTGCAGCGACCGCGTTTTCAGGACCATGCGCGACACGAGCTCCTCGAGTCGCGCGGGAGAGGCTGTCGCCGCCACGTGGTCACCGCTTGCCACGTCAAATGGGGCGAAGCGGAGCGCTGGGACGTAGCGCGTGAGAGCGCGAAATCGTCTGCACGTCAGCGAGATGATACTCACGTCAGCCGCGCCGCAGCCGACGCGGGCGAAGATATCGACGATGAGCTCGTCTGGCAGCAGCGAAAACGGGTCGCGCGCGGATTGCGGAGACGTGAACATCGCAGCGGCTGATGCGGCGCGAAAGGCGGAAGTGAACGGAATCGCCAGAGCAGACGGCCGCGAAAGGCGGCGGGCGGAGAAACCGGGCTCCGTGTCAACGCATGGTCCGGCTGACAGCGATTTGGGCATCGTCGCTTGAGTAGTCGTGCGATTGCATGCAACGTCGCATGCTGTCGCAGAGCCGGAATCAGCTGCGAGGTCGCAGGCCTGCGACGCGCCGTGGTAGGGTTTGCTGGGCAAGGCGAGAGGGAATGGTTGCTGTCGAACGTTTTCCATGGCTACTCGTCGTGAGCTTCAGAAAAGTAAAATCTGGAAGCCTAATGTTGTCGATGTGCCGAAGCAGAATTGACGGAGACGAAGGAACGAAATATCTCGGTACAGGTTGAACGAGCAGCGCGTTTGAAGCAAAGGCTGAAGAAAACTCCGTAGAAACGGCGGCGCGCGGAAATACAAGGCAGGGGTTGAATGGGCTGCTCCAAATATCTCGAAAAGACGGTGTAACAGAGAGTTGAAAACGGAACGAGTGGCCAAGAATCAAGGTAGGAAGTGATAGATATTTCCAAGAATGAGCCACAGACGGCTGTGGCATTGACTGATAACCGCTGAGCGAGAGGTAGACGCAATGTTGAGTAAAGGGGGGCTCGGTGAAGGTCCTCTCTGAAAGCAGCCAGGGGGAGGTATGAACGAGGGACGACGACGACGAGTCAGGAGAGACGAGCAAGGGAGAACGTTGAAGGGAGAAAAGAGCCCCAACCGCCACTTGTGGCGCCTTCACTGCTTCACGCGTCACAGAGCAGACGCTGATGCGTTCTTCGCACTGTGCTGCAACTGTTGCACAGTCTAGTGAACTGCGTTTGCGAACTGTGCAGTGCAGCTGTGCGGAATTCTGTGCTGCACTGCACAGAAGTGAGGAGAGGAAATGCGGAAGAGAAACTGGGCAGGATTCAGTTCAGAACGTCAGAGACGGAACTTGAGATCAAGTGAGGCGCACTTGGCGGTTGCGCAATGCGCCCCCGGCTTGCAGAAAACGTTTGGCGTCTAGCGGCACAGTCGAAGTCAACGCGCGCCAGCACACCAAAATGTTGCCAACAATGCACTTCAATTTCCCGAACCGATTTCCTCGCGAATGCGATTTGGGTGGGAGGAATCGAGGGAAGGGGGAAGAGAGGGGGAGGCAATGCGGAAGTAGGGTTCAAGTCAGTACAAGAAGGGAGGCAATGTGTATTCCACTTCTTCCGTATTGATACTGTACTGCTCTGTACGGTGTTTTCTCCACACACACACTGTACTGAACAGCTCTTTGTGTCACAAATGATGCAGTTGACCCCGAAAGTTGCTCTCTGCGGAATGGATGTTGCGCGTCGTGAATGACCAATGGTTGGAAGCAGAAGGTCTGGTCCGGGCAGAAACACTTCACCCGTCTCCTGGCTGACCCGTGAAATTTGAGGTCTGATTGGGAGTTTAGGGATAAACGGGCAACGAAAGGATTTTTGACCGTTACTCTGTGCCACGTGCGAACATCTTGCGGGGAACAGTTGACCAAATTCTGACGGTCTAGTACAAGTTTTGTTCAAGCTCAACCGACACAGGGGATGTCACACAAAATGTCGACTCCATTAGGTTGAGGAAGCCCAGGGTTGCATTTCCTCAGACACATGGAGCAGAAGGAACGCGCCAGTTACGCCGAGAAAGGCGAACCTTCAGCAACTCGTACACATTAGAAGGAGGTCTGAATGTTTGGTCGCTGGGCCATGTGGTCCCATACCAAGCACCACCGTCAGGCCAGCACCAAAATCTTGAAATCCACGTCATTCGTATATACAGCTGGCAGATCCACCTCATGGGCACATCACTCTTCCATGTGCGTGGCACAAACCAGGTGTAGATTTGACCTGCACACCAAGCCACGATTCACACGTCTCGGCGCGACCGCCGGAGTTTTTCACTGTGATGCCAAACCGTCACGGATTCGCGCAACTTTGAATGATTTTGACCGATTCGACACAGCTGGACAACAAGTGACGCTTTATTCAGCAGATCGAGGTGCTTCGTAGGAACCATACGCCAATGAAATTCCTCGTTTCGTGGAAAGCTGGCAAGTCCGTTGAATGCGAGTCAGAATATGATATCTCAACGTGAAGATATTTGATCCTAAGGTGGCAAGTTGAGGGGGCAACATCCACGCTGTCCCCAAACACTCCCTTGGCCAGCAAAGCCCTTGTGCCGCATTAATAATTTTGTAAAGTTCCCGCCAATAGTCCATGGTGCTGGTGTCAAGCTGGCAAATGTGCTCTCGTTCCCACACGGGCGATCCGTACATGCTGGAACACACAACCAGCTTGGACGCGCAAGTGTGCAGCATTGTGTCGAAATCAATGCGGCACAAGCGCTGTACAGTGGTGGATCATCTGTCAAACAAAGGGACGATTGAGGGGTCGCTATCACTAAAACCGGACAAATATCACAAAAACAAGGCACAAAAGTCGAACACGGAGAATGGACCTAGGTTGCGTATTGGCTTGACGGTGATAACAGGCACAAATTACAGCAGTACCTATCGAACTATTAGTACATTATACTGTCTCTAAAGCGTCTTTGGGTAATTCAAAACAAAAACCGGTGAACACGTCATGAAGTTTCGAAGAACCTTGAAATGACGTCATTCTTTGGACTATCTGCAAGTTCATAGTTGCCGCCATACTCCCCTGCTTATGTGTTACCCGGAAGTACCCAAAGTACTTGATTAATACACTGTTTTGCATTCAACACTCTCTATGGAATTATCTCTTCAGGGCGTTTTATACAATCATCCGTGCATCTCAAAGCTGCAGCTATGCTGAGCAGAAAAATGAATCGCTTATAGCTTAAAAAAATCTGGCATTGCAAGGGAGAATTTGTTTATAAAATGATGCAAAACAATGGGATGAGTTTCTTTAAGGCCAAACTGGAGAACTAACCACCAGGTTGACAGGTACTGAGTGCCCGTGTTGGTCTGTCCACAAGATGCTTCCAAACCTAAACTCGTTTAGAGGGAGAAACCTAATTATGGTTACCCTAAACAGCTTGGACTTCCCCGGCAGAATAACCATTTGCTTCGGGGATACTTTCACTGTAAACCCAGGTGGAGGGTCCACCTTGGCAGTATAAATAGACGGTAAATTGTAGACGTTTTTCACTTTCCGGAACACAACCATAACGCCGTGTAACCTGGTTACCGCAATCGAGGGCCGGTTGATGCTCCAAGGGAATATCGGCCGAGCCTTCCCCATTCGCCAAAACCGCTTCTTCGCTCGTAACGGATCCCTCCCCATGAGAAAATTCACATACTGCTTCTGCGCGCTGTGAAACGTCAGCCCAGGATCGAGCACGCGGGTGGGATCCACGTGCCCGCCTCCATAGTCCCACGCGTTCGCTTTCGACCCATCCGCCCGCTGAATCGCCTGCCCGTTTTTATTCTTCGTATAGGCTGTCGTCGTGATTGCGGAAATCACCTGCGCGGGCGACCAGTTCGGTTTCTCCTGCACGATCAGAGCCATGATCCCCGCCAAATGCGGCGTAGACATGGACGTTCCCGACCAGTAGTTAAACTCGGGCGCGTCGGTCGCGGCGGTCGCGACGGCCTTCCCCGGCGCCGCGGACCATAGTAGGAACCCCGGTCCCATGACGTCGGGTTTAAGGATGTCGTTAGTTGGGAAGTCGCGGATTAGGAGCGCGGGCGGGTAGCGCGCGCTGCGGGGCGGGCCTGTGGACGAGAAGAAGGCGACTTGGGGGGCGTTGGTGGATTGAGACTCGGTGTAGGCGGATAGAGTGGCTGTGGGGCTGTGGAGGGGGGGGGGGAGGGAGGGAGTGGGAAAAGAGAAGGGGAGGGGAAAGCGTGACCAAGAGAAGGGGATCTTGAGGGGCGTTGGTGGAGTGAGACTCGGTGTAGGCGGATAGAGTGGCTGTGGGGCTGTGGAAGGGGGGGGGAATGGGGGGAGGGGGATGGGGGAAGAGAAGGGAGGGGGTGGGGAGAGGGGAGGGGAGGGGGCCTGTGCAAACGTGCGAGGAGTGACCGACTCGGTGGGGAGGGGGAAGGGGAAGGCATGCGAGTCTGGGAATGTGAAAAAGGTGACAGAAGCCGTGTTGAGACAATGACTGGGTTTGAGGGGTTCAGAGTTTAGGGGTATAGGAGGATTTGGGGTTTAGGAGAAGTGGGAAACGGAAAGGGGAAGCAGAAATGGAGAAGCAGGAGAGAGAGTGGAGGGAAGGAAAGGAAAGGGGCGGAAACAGAAGCAGCCTGGTCACCTGCTTTCGGCCTCGATATAGCTCTTGGCCTGCTCTGCACCACACGAGTACTAGAGGAAGATGCTGGGAGTCTTTGAGTCGACTCAATCACATGCTCACCAGGTGTGAGAGAGAAGCAGCAGCCTCACCTGCTTTCCGCCTGGATATAACTCTTGATCGACTTGCCTCGCGTGTATTGGAGGAAGATGCTGGAAGTTTTGGAGTCGACTAGAAAAATTGCAAAAGAAACAGCTATTTGGTGAACAAGCAGCTTAGAAGCAGGCTCACCTGCTATCCGTTTGAACATAGCTCTTGACTGTTTTGCCGCGCGAATACGGGAGGAAGATGCTGGGGGTTTTGGTGTAGGGCATGCGATACTGCAGGTCCTTCTTGGGCGTCCCGCTTATAACGAGGATGGCAGCCGCCCCCAGGAGATCCGCGTCTGCCAGCAGGAGTGTCATCTTGCGTGTCAGGACGGAGCACACGAGAAACTTCCCAGAAACTGCGGTCCTGTCGATGTGCCCGATGTAGCACTGCCGTGCCTGGTGGGAGGGGAGAAGAGGGGGAGAGAGGTTGAAGCACACAGGGGGAGAGAGGTTGAAGCACACAGGGGGAGAGAGGTTGAAGCACACAGGGGGAGAGAGGTTGAAGCACACAGGGGGAGAGAGGTTGAAGCACACAGGGGGAGAGCGGTTGAAGCACACAGGGGGAGAGAGGTTGAAGCACACAGGGGGAGAGCGGTTGAAGCACACAGGGGGAGAGAGGTTGAAGCACACAGGGGGAGAGAGGTTGAAGCACACAGGGGGAGAGAGGTTGAAGCACACAGGGGGAGAGAGGTTGAAGCACACAGGGGGAGAGAGGTTGAAGCACACAGGGGGAGAGAGGTTGAAGCACACAGGGGGAGAGCTGATCCCCCTGTTCCCATGTGAGATACATCAACCTCAGCTTGGCCTTATCCCCTCCGGACAGCACAGCTGATTCAGCAGAGCTGACAGCAGAGCTAATCAGAGAGGCAGCGCAGAGCCCGTGGCAGAGGTTTTTGAGAATTCTCAAAAATCACTCACGTGGCAGAATTCTCAATAATCAGAGGCAGCGCACTCACGTGGCAGAGGTGCCTAGCCGATTAGCTTATGAAGTGACTTTTGAGTCAACTCAAAAGCCACTTCAGCCACAATAAGCGGCAGCGCAGAGCCGGTGGCACAAGTGCAGATTAGCTTATGAACCGCACCTCCCCCGAACTCACCTTCCCCAGGTGCCATGTGTTGGAAACACCGTGCCCATTGCCCGCGTGCCATGCGCTCAGCTCACCTTTGTCCTATCCCCTCCGGAAAGCAGAGCTGATTCAGCTCATAATCAGAGGCAGAGCAGAGCCGGTGGCAGCGGTTTCGATCAGGTTAGGGGTTAAAGCTCGCTCCTCCAAGTCACCTTGCCTATGTGCCATGTGTTGACTCTGACTCACCTCCCCTTCCCACGTGAAATGCATCAAGCTCACCTTGGCCTGATCCCCTCCGGACAGCAGAGCTGATTCAGCCATAATAAGCGGCAGAGCAGAGCCCGTGGCAGCAGTGCCGCCCAGACTGCGGCCTGTGAAGGTGGTGGCGTCCCCCAGGGTCAGCACTGCCTTGTATTCCCGCCCTATCGTGCTGTGAAGAGGGAAACAGGAGAAAAGGGTGGGGGGAAGAGGAGGAGAAGGGTTTGCAAAGTGATGTGCCCAGAGGAGTAACACGGGCAGCCCTTGCAATGCCACTGCTATAAGATGTGAGGAGTCGCACCGCCATGGGCAACAGCAATGCAATGGCTTCTTCCTCTCACCCATACCTTGCCCCCACTGACGTACACCAGCTGCTTACATTCCCCATTCCCCATTCCCCGCAAACACGCCCTAATTTCACCCCACTCCACACGTACCTCGCTCCCACTGTGAGGTAGAAAGGAGAGACGTTCCCGAGGGTGCCCCAGATGCTGCTGGGGTTGGGCTTGCCCTCGTTTGCCCGCTGTACACACAACCGTTCGTCACCCCCCCTCCTCCCCATACACACGTACCTCGCTCCAACAGTGAGGTAGAACGGCGAGACGTTCCCAAGGGTGCCCCAGATGCTGCTGGGGTTGGGCTTGCCCTCGTTGCCTGCTGCAAAAGCTGTCACCACCCCTGCCTGTTCAGGGAGTTCACGACAGAGAGGGACAAAAGTAGGGAGGCAAGAGAGGAGCAGCGATCTTGAAAAGCTACTTTGTTTCCCTCGTTGCCCGCTGCAAAAGCTGTCACCACCCCTGCCAACTCTTCCCGTGATTGCCTACCCAGTGCACATACAGGGGAGAATACTTGTACACCTGTTGAGGCACCTCAAAAGTCGTCTCATGTCTCGCGGTTTTGAGGCGCCTCAAAAGTATGCACATACAGGGGGAAAGACTTGAGCACCTTTCTTTGAGGCGCCCAAAAAAGGCAACAGTCGCTTCAAGTCTTGAATGTAACCAAGGCAAGGCAAGGCAGCACATACCTTGAGGCCTCGCAGGTACGGCGTCTTGGAAGCACATGGCACGGCCATCCCACGAGCAGGAGATGATGTCAAGACACAAGGTACGAGCAAGATATAACGTGGAAGGCGCAAGGGAGCACGCACCTTGAGGCCTCACAGGTACAACAGGTCTTGGAAGCACATGGCACGGCCATCCCACGAGCAGGAGATGATGCTGTGTCAGGGACACAATGTAAGAGCAAAGCATCACGGCAGCACATACCTTCAAGCCTCTCAAGTACGGCAGGTCTTGGATGTACATGGCAAGCCCGCCCCAGGAGCAGGAGGTGACGCTAAGAGCGCACTCACGTTCAAGGGCACAAGGCCGCCTAAACCCTAACCCTGGCACGTACCTTCAAGCCGCGCAGGTACGGCAGGTCTTGGAAGTACATGGCAAGGCCGCCCCACGAGCAGAGGTGACGCGTTATGTTACGGTTGTGATGCAGCACGTACCTTCAAACCGCGCAAGTACGGCAGGTCTTGGAAGTACATGGCAAGCCCGCCCCAGGAGCACGAGATCACATCCACACCGTCAGCAACAGCCTTCTCAGCAGCGCCTATGAGATCCGACGATGCACCAGTGCCCTCGTACCCCCCTATGGTCCACAGTGCCTTGTACACTGATAGTCTGGCGCGGGGGGCCATGCCTGATGCTGTGCCGTAGCTGCGCCCCCCTGTAGTGACTGTTATTCCTGCATTGCCCGCTGCCGCTCTGGTGATGGGGAGGGGAGGCGGGGAGGGCAGGGCAGGACAGAGCAATGGAAGGGAGAGAGGGGGCGGTTGAGTCGTCTCGATACCCACTGCCCTCGTACCCCCCAATGGTCCACAGTGCCTTGTACACTGCTAGTCGAGCCCGGGGGGCCATGCCTGACGCTGTGCCGTAGCTGCGGCCCCCCGTGGTCACTGTTACCCCTGCATTACCCCCTGCCGCTCTGGTGTGGGAAGAGGGGAGGGAGGGCAAGGGAGGGAAGAGAGGGGGCGGGTAGAGGCGTGTCAACCCAGCACCAGCGCTCTCATACCCCCCAATGGTCCACAGCGCCTTGTACACTGCAAGCCTCGCACGGGGGGGCATGCCTGACACTGTGCCGTAGCTCCTGCCCCCTGTGGTGACCGTTACTCTTGCGTTGCTCGCTGCTGCTCTGGTTATAGGGAGTGGAGGGCAGGGAGGGGGGGCACGGCAGGGCAGGGAAAGGCAAGGCAGGGTAGGGGCATGGAGGGGAGGGGAGAGGAGGGAGGGAAGTAAAAGGGTGGGTTGAGGCGTGTCAACTCAACCCCAGTGCCCTCGTACCCCCCAATGACCCACAGTGCCTTGCACACTGCTATTCTTGCCCGGCCCACTCACCCCGCACACCAAGTGCCGTGCTGCACCGGCACTCCTCGGTTTCGTCCAGCTGGCCAAACGAATACCCCGCGCCTTTCAGAAAGTAGCGCGCCCCAATCAGCTTGTTGTTGCACTCCCATGCTTCACCCCAACAACCCCCAGTCAAATCACCCACTCACCCCGTTACACCACTCACCCCGCACACCACGTGCCGTGCTGCACTTTGTCTCGTGCCGACCGGAACTCTTCGCTTTCGTCCAGCTTGCCAAACGTATACTCCGCGCCCTTTAAAAAGTAGCGCGCCCCAATCAGCTTGTTGTTGCACGCCTGGAAGTCTGCTGTCTTGGTGCACACGCCTCGCCACCGCGAGGGCTTGGTGGAATAGGCCGCCCCATTGGGGTCCTGAGAGGGAGGAGGGAGGGAGGGTGGTTGGGAGAGAGGACAAGTGGAAAGACAGCCACTCAGCGCCCAATCCCCGAGTCATGCTCACTGTCTGCCTCACTCAGAGCACTCACCGGATCAGCGAAAGAAGGGTGTTCAGGCCAAATCCCCGAGTCTATCACGCCAATGATGATGGCCTCCCCCGCACTGCTCTGCCCGCCAGCGGCCGGCCACAGGCTCGTATCCATCTTGAGAAATTCAGGTGAGTGCACGGTGGTCAGTCAGTCACGTCCTGTCTTGGCTCAGTCACTCAGAGCGAGCACTCACCGGGTCAGCGAAAGAGGGGTGCTCGGGCCAAATCCCCGAATCTATCACCCCGATGATGATGCCCTCCCCCGCGCTGCTCTGCCCGCCAGCGGCCGGCCACAGGCTCGTATCCATCTTTAGAAACTCAGGAGACTGCACGGTGGTCATGCGCACTACCCTATCCGGCTCCACATCTGCCACTGCGGGGTGCAAGCGCAGCCTCTTGGCTTCTGCAGGGGTGAGCTGCGCTGCGAAGCTGTTCATCAGGTAGGAATAGCTGGCAGGTTGGGGTGGTGGGACAGAAGGGGCAAGAAAGGGAGAACGGAAGTACAGTGGGGGTGGAGAGGTGAGGGAAGAGAAGAAGGGGAGGCGGCAGGAAGCAGGGGCAACGCGAAAATGAGCAGTCACAGCAGGCTGGGTCCTTACGGAAAGACTCAGGCGATCACAGCTCACAACTTAAGTGGGCCGAAGAAGCTGGAATAACAATCTCTCACCGCCACAGCTCACCTGTGGAAGATGGACGAGACTGGGATGTTGAGCGATCGTAGCAGGCTGCGGTGGGAAGCTTCCAGGAAGCGCGTGAAGGCCTGCACGTGCGGTAACCGCACGTCGGGCCGCATGAGGCGGCCCCACGGCGTGGTGCGCATGATGTGCGCCGCTCTCACGCTCAGCTGCTGCGCTGTCAGCACGGGTGACGTGGCTCCCGCTGCAGCTGACGTGGATGCTGATGCTGTTGAGCTCACGCCACGAATGGTGCCGAGGGCAGCAGCAGCAACATTGTGCACAAATTGAGAAGAATTGGTAAAAGGGAGTTCAAAATCATCCAAAGCTGCACCATCACCACCATCACCACCACCAGCAGCGTCAGCATCAGCATCAGCATCAGCACCTGCTGCTTCTTCTGCAGCAGCAGCCACAGCAGCAGCAGCAACGCGAGCCAGCAGTCTCCGACCCAAACCAGCCGACCGCGATCGGAAATTCTTCAGGCGCAGACCCACCCGCCTCGCTAGATCGTCCATCCTTGCCTCTCTAAACGCGACTGCTCTAATTCCCACTTTTTTTCCTAGCCGTCCCCCTATCCCACCTGCTGCTGCTGTCGCTGCTAACCCTGCCACGCCTGCTACTCCTGATTTTCCTGTTTCCTCTGCTTCCCCTGCTGCTCCCACCACTCCGCCAATCTCCACTGCCGCCTCGGCAGCAGCCACTGCAGCGGACAGAATATCCTCATCGAACGAATCTTTTCCTGATTCTGAAGCCAATTCGGCAGGCGCCGGGGTTGCTCCTGCTGCTGCCGGCGCTGGTGCTGCTGCTGGCCTTGGACCAGTGCTGTTTCCCCCAGTGCCACCATTGCCATCACTACCACCATTACCACCACTGCCACCACTGCTACCAGTGCCACCAGTGTCACCAGTGTCACCAGCACCAGGAGAGTCACCCTCCTCCCCATCATCCTCGTCATACTCATCCTCGTCATCGTCTACAGTCGCTGTCGGCCTCAGCCCGTTGATCCCTCCCCGGTACGACAGCACTGACGGCACGGACCTCAAATGCACGATGTACTGCTTCGCGTTCGGCCTTCGCCCTGCTGCTAACAGGAAGGTGGGAGGGAGTGGGGTGGTGGGGGAAAGGGAGTGAGGGGGGAGGAGAGAACAGCAGGAAGGGAAGAGCAGGGAGTTAGTGGGTCTAAGCCCGTTGATTCCTCCCCTGTAAGACAGCACTGACGGCACGGACGTCGAATGCACGACGTACTGCTTCGCGTTCGGCCTACGTCCGGCTTCTAACAGGAAGGATGGAGCGGGGGGGGGGGGAAGGAGAGAGAGGGGAGACAGCAGGGTACGGACAGTCGACCCCTCTCTGATACGACAGCACTGACGGCACGGACCTCAAATGAACGATACGCTGCTTCGCGTTGGGCCTTTCGTGCTGCTGGGATTTTAGAAGGGATTGAGAGCGGCGGGAGGATTGTGAGCGATGCGGAGAATCGGGAGTGATGGGATGACGAGGCAGGAGAGGAGGGCGGCGATGATTGAGGCTTCGAAGCTCTCGACTCATTGGCTCCCCTGCTTGAAGGCGCGTCTAACCAAAACTAAGGCGCGTCTTATGAGGCGCCTCAAAATAGTAATTTAACAAAGAAACTGCCGCGCTTCCACTGCGTAATTGAGGCTCTACGAGCTTGACACGGCGCTTTGAAGCTCTCTGCCCGTTGTCTTCCCTCCTATAGGCTATACCTTTAACCACGAACTGAGGCGCTTCAAGTGCAGAGAACTGAGGCTCTCAGTATCCGGAGTTGAGGCTTCGAGATGGAGGCGCTAGAGATTCGGAGCTATGGAACTCAAGAGTACTGAGGCGATTATACTCCAGAAGAAAGTATCGTACTTGATTCTGTGTTGACTGCGCCGCGCGGCGAAAGAACTTTCGAGGCGCGTCGATACCTTGCCACGGTTATTACCGTACCTGCTTGTGCGTTGACAGCAGCGCACGCACGGCGGGAGTATATCTCCTAGAAGGTGACTTCTCAAAGTCGTCGTACCTGCTTGTGTGTTCACAGCAGCGCACGGAGGGAGCATATCTCCCACTAGGGCAACGACGACGAGAGCCGTCGCGACGACGGCCAGAAGCCATGAAAATCCGCCAGTGGCGGATTGAGTTAGTTTCAGTTGACGCATCATGATCGCCAATCGGCGATTTGAATTGCTAAACGTATCTAAGCAGGCCGACGCGGTGTTGGTAGCTAGAAGCAGGCAACGCGGCCGAGACACATCGTACGTCGAGCTGGGAACGGATTGATAGGCCTCTGACGAACCTTTTAAGCTCTCGATAAGTTGACGAGTGCTGAGGACTTGCACCAACGGCTACAAAGGCCCTTCTGTTACTTGCAAAGGAAAGATCAGACACTGGATTCTAACAACTCGTCGCGCTTTTTACTCGCATTCCCTGGATATCACATCATAGCAGAGTGTGTGCCCTTGCAACCACGGCTCCGTCAAAGAAGAGACTCGGCAGAATCTGTGTGGCGCGAGAGACATCAACCTCGGCCAGGAAAATGAGAGTGCAATCCCAAGGTTGAGCCTACTTGCCGCGGACCTGGTAGTTGACATCTCAAAACTAGCCGTATGTCGGTCGCCCAATTTCCTTCCTCCTGTATTCCCTGGAGCAACGACATTGCCGTGGTTCGGTCGGTTGGCCGTGGATTGCCCCTGCGTGCCTCTCTCAACCGTCGATGTTGATGGTTCTGTTGGCGCTCGCGTGCATGATTCCTGCTGCTGCTGGGTCCTGCGGCCTGCCTGCCCTGCCTCGCCCTCCCGTGACGCCCTAGGTCGGAATCACCGCGCCGGAGTTTGTGATACTGTACAGAAAAGAGGGCAGTGGCCGGGCTCCTTGCCGAAAAACGCATTTGTTTCCTCCTGGAATTCTAATATGTACCGGAATTTGCCCATGGACGAACCTCACTTTTTCAGTTCGGTTCCTTGTCGGGGTGGTGGGAAAGACCAACCAAACCTCACTACGACGGAAGCACCCAATTACAGTTCAGTTTTTGTGTAGCGCGAAGCGGTTTCTCGTAGTTTCCTGGGCATCCAGCTCAATGGGCCATTGCCCCTAACCGGAAACATGGGCATCTGACAGCACGTTCGAGACTCACTGAACGCTTACGATGCTGCAAGCGAACCGCGGATCAGCTGCCCCAATGCTTCATGGCCCATCCTGATTTGTTCCCGGCTGCCATGGTTTCCCTCATCAGAAGGCAATTCGTGAAAGCGTAATCTTCCACCGAATTGTACACTTCAGCGGGAAACGCATAACCTTAGAAATTTGAAATACTTCACTAAGGGGGTTATTCAACTTCACAAGACCAGAGAACATAATACCGTACGGTACAATAACATGCATGATACATGTCAAATGAATCAGTACCTGCAGTGGCATATGGACTCCCTCGTTCCCAAGTACTGGTTATCAAGAGAAGCTCAGGTATTTTCAAATTTTCCTGCCCTGTACTCCTTGTTCTAATATTGTAAGGAGTGCTCCTTACATACCATAGGGCTTGTGGTAAACGAGTAAAGCTTTGAGGTGACATAGAGGTGATGGCTTCACAGGAAACTCTATGTTATGTAGTAGTGTCAGTGGCAGACACACTCCCACGGCCTATCATAGAAGTGCCATCGACTCGACTTTATGGGAAGCTCAGCCACTTGTTTTCTGTGCTCACGCACCCTTTGTCTCAACTCTTCCTGTCCAGCTGCTCCTTGTGCTAGTGCTGGGAGGAGTGCTGGCACAAAGGGCTGGTATGTTTCCTGTATAAGAGAGAAATAGTCAAGCTTTGAAGTGACAGAACAAGATGGCTTCACTGGCATCAATTTACCTTTTGTGCCCCCATGTAAAATCTATGTCCTCTAAGAAGGACAGCAATGCTGCTTCTTTTGTTGGTCATAAAAAAATCACTGTCATGAAGGGAGGGGAAGCAAACGAGGAAGGTGAGAGCGCAGGGAGGGGACTGGGGCAAGTAGATTTTTAAAACTGTAGCAGCTGCAGCACACTTCTAAACCAGCAGCATTAATCAACAGCACAGGAACCCTCACCTTTCGAGGCTGACGAGGTAGTCAATTGCCTGCATTAGGTGGGAGCTTATCGGGGCCATGCTTGGATCCAGAAGATCACACCTGCTGACTACTTTTCCAGGAAAAGCTGTCCTCAAGGGCGTCAAAAGCTGTTCCACCTTGTCACAGCTTCCACCCACGTACACGTTTGTATGGTTTCCAATGCCAATCGCCTGACGCACGAAAGTGGAATTCCAGGTGGGAAATGAGTGAAAAATTTTACGGAAACCTCAAACAGGTGGAAAAAGTGCATGGTCAACATGCCTGGAGAATGCGTGTGACCTCGTTTGGTGACAACGGGCAGAGACCCTCAAGCTTCTGATGATTGGCTGCACCAGAATCACTTTGCACTCTCATGTGGTGGGTTGCAAACCATTCTTGAACCATCTGTGCCGTCTCGGAATCATAGACACAAGCTGTTTGGGACAGACATTTTGTTACGCAACCCTAATTTGTTGAAAACATAATTGACAAAAATGCTAGACTTACTTGATCTCAGCATGTTCCTATCTTGGAAGCTCAAGTGGAGTGCAACATAAGGACCCTCCGCGTGGAGCCTTTCGACAGCATTCGCTCCAAGCCCCAGAGTCTCACTGGTAAAAAGTAAAGCGTGGTAGAGCACTCTACACCGTAGGCGCTGCCAAAGAGGACCACGTTTTTTCTGTTTTTTTTGGTACAGATAATGGAACTAGCCAATCTCACCAAAGCAAGAGGTTGTACCTGATAAACTTCTGGCAAGTCCCGGGAAAGGAAAAGAAGGAAGTGGTCCAACACTGCCACTCCTTCCCCTTGAAGAACAGGTGCAATATTTTGAAGGTACCAGTCTACATTTAGCGTCCGGTGATCAGGTGGAGCGTGCTCCAGAGTATCAGACGTCACTGTTAAATTCGCTTGTCTGCACCAATGTTTCAGTGGGTTATTTTTCTGAGAAAAAAACACTGCAGAGAAGGCTGTTGCACGACATACCTGACGATGTTGACATCATCTTTCAGGGTTTCAATAAAGTGGTCTTCAGAGAAAATATTCCCGAATTGGCTGTATGTGAAGGCAGGATGTAATTTTGGCAAAGCACTTGTGAGAAATGGCGAGAAATTGTGCTGACTTGCCTGATCTCCTCGTGCGATGACTTAGCAAGGAGGATCGGAACAGCAAGTGTCGCATTGAGGATGCGAGCAATCACAACCGAGTTAGCAATCGCCCGCATCTGCTGATAGAGGTCACCTCTTACGGAGACATACAACAAACCATTCGACTTCAGCGACGAAACTGCAACACAAGATCTATCAGTTAATATATGCCATTTCGCAAGCTAAAATATCGGACTAGGATACCGACCTTGAAATTCACCTGGTCTCCTAAACAAGCATGGCCGAAGTCGACTAGCTCGTGGGAAAGTGTGGTGCAGGAAAAAATCCGAGCTTGGATTTGACTTCAAAATACTTTCTGAATCCATCTCAAGCCTCACAGAATTCGTTCCGCTTTGCTCAAAAGAGATCGCAACTAGAAAAAAGCTACACAACAGCACCACTTTCAGAGAAAGAAACGCCATCTTGCGAGCTGAAGTGGTCATCGACGTGTGTGTAGTATGTAGTTGAGCTTGCAACTCTAATCTTCTGAACAAGCTGCAGATCCAGACGAGAACGAAGTGGAATGTATGTATGGTTGGCCTGGGAGAGGAGGGGCCGTGAGTTGCGTCAATCTGTCGATTGGGGATTTCAACGCAATCAATCGGACGGCTCAGAGTTGGCTAAGTTCGAGTGATAAGTTTACCTTTTCGCAGGTAAGTTTCGCTTGGGTCATGGCCGTCGCCAAATTCCGAAATTAGCCCTGGCGAAAACAGCTCGAACTTGTTACGAACTCATTACTGTCGGGTTTCCATAAGCCTGTTCAACACCTCGTTTGCCTTGAAGTTTGTCCAGCCTGCTTTCTGCGTGGGCCCAGGCTCATGCTTGCCCCAGCTGCTCATCATCGTCACTGCTCCCCCGCTCCTGCTGGTCAATTGTGGGCCAAGCTTCAAGCCAAATCTCAAGATGAACAAAAAGGCGACAGAAAATCCAAGGCATATCCGAAAGGTGGGTTTTCAAAGAATTTTCTGCAGCACTGTGTGATCTGTAATCTGGAATCTGTAAGAACTGCTCAACGCTTGGTGTAGTGGCTCAGCAATACCAAGCGAAGCCTCCACCGCCTCTTGCCAGACAGATCTCCCGGGTCGCTTGCCCCGTAGTAGCTGTTGTTAAGCCTTTGCGCAAGATATCGTAGCTGAATTTAGTTTTGAGTATCACTATGGCGTGTAGTCCACGTCCACTCAGGATAATCTCATGGTCCATAGTTCTGTCGTTCTCCGTTCTGATGCGCGCCTCCGCTGAGATTTCAGCATCGAGTGCAGCACTAACGGGAAATCCGTTTCACAAGCTCTTCAACCCTTCCTGGAAGCAGCCTCGAACTAGAATCTCGTGTCTTTCCGACAACAGGGGCCAACATAAAGAAGGTGGGCTCCCGACTTACAGAGGTTCTGCTACTGTCATACCATGTTCGCGATCAAGTGCGATCCATGTTCGAGTTCTAATTCTCCACGTACGTCCACCAGCAGAGAAGCGTTACGTTTATGTATCTGTCGGGGGTGGTCTCAATCAGCAACGTAGAGGAATTGCCAACGCAGTGGTTGTTGCGAAGATTATGAATGCCACTCTCATTGTTCCCAATCTAATCGTACATCCAGCTTGGGGTGACCAAAGGTGAGCCTCACGAAACATACATGGCAAATAATGTCGTTTCTGTTTCACCCCGATTCATTTCTAATGCTAATAATCATGTACTATGCAGCAAGTTCTCAGAGATTTTCAGTGTCCCGCACTTCGTTCAGACCCTGAAGAAAGATGTGGAAGTGATTGAGTAAGATGCTTCCTCGAAAAAGAGTTGTCTGTTGGTAACCACTGTGCTAACGCTTCCCTCCCTGACCCAGAGATGTTCCTGCAAGCTTGAAATTTTCATCTTTAGAGAGGCTTGCCGCCATAAGCCTCCCTTCAGAGGCCCTCGAGCCAGAATGGTACATCAGACATGCGCTCCCAACCCTTCAGAAATACGGGCTCGTTGTGTTTAATTACTTTTTCATGCAGCTTCAAGAAGATCTTCCAACACCATTTCAGGTTTGAGATATTGTTTTTAGCATTGCATTTTCTCATGGTTTTATTCATTCTCTAACCCATGGCTCCGCTCATTCTCTGGCAGCACTTGAGATGTCGTGCTCAGTACCATGCTCTTCAGTTCGTGAACCCTATTTTAAGGTATTGTGCCGGTACTGCTACTCTCAGTTTTATTTTCTTTACCAGCCTGTTCATTTTGCAGTGTATGTTGATGCAGCATGGGTCTTCAGGCTGTTCAGAAGCTTCAGAGCACTGGACCTTACGTAGCTGTTCACCTACGATATGAACCTGACTGGATTGTCCATACAGGTGCTTTCACAACCTGCACTACAGGAGGTTGCATCGCTTTGGTTGCATTGAGTTTAAGAACTTACAGAAAGTGTTTTCTTGTGGGCCTGTTCAGGCTGCCTGTATGATGCAGCAACAAATGCGTACATGAAGAAATGGGCGTCTGAGAGAAATATTCAGTTTCAGTCCAACGTCACAGAAAGTGATTCGAGAAAACAAGCAGGTCTTTGCCCCATAACCCCTCAAGAAACGGCTCACATTCTCAAGGTACGTCGATTTCTGTGGCCTTACTGCCTCCTCTTTCCATCCCAAGGTCTATCCATGCAGGAAAGATACGTGTTTTTTTGTCTGATTACCCGAAGGTCCTGTTTCCAGGCTTTGGGAGTTGACAACATGACAACTATCTACATTGCTGGAGGAGCAATAAATGATGGGGCAAGGCTCATGAGGCCATTGCATCGAGCATTTCCTCGCCACATTGCAACGAAGGATGGCTTATTGAAAAGCAAAGTAAAAGAGCTGGCTGGCAAACCATCCGTGCTTGCTGCTATTGACTACATCGTCTGCCTTTACAGGTGAGCAGGCCTACCGTTCTTTCTGCTGATGGATTGTGGGTTCCATCTGATTGTGTCAGTGACATCTTCAAGCCCGTTTCCTTGCACTTTTGTTTGCAGTGACTTCTTTATGATGACTGCTGGTGGCAACATGGGAATGATGCTACGAGGTCACCGCTTCTACCTTGGAGATTTCAAGGTACATATCTGACAGCTAGCACCAAGCATATGCCCATCCGAATTTTTTTATGTACTTGTGGTAATTGTTTGCTTGTTGTGCAGGAGACGTTTCAACCGTATGCACCTGCTCTGGTTCCAGCTCTTTCAGGCTCTAGGCCCAACATGACTATGCTGGGAGATATCCTGGCACAGCAACGCATGCACAAGGCACAAGATCCCCTGGATGCAAGAAGGCTACTGAAGTTCTTTGACCGCCCTTGGGAATGTGTTTGCGAAAAAACCCCAGAGTATTATACAATATAGCACATCTCAATAGATTCCACAGCTGCGTATTGCAAACTTAACAATGTTGAACAGCTCTGAGCCAGAGAACAATCACTAGACTAGAAAACAAGTGCTAACTTTGCCTAGGTGATCCTAATCTACACCTGCACTGGAAGCCATGGCGCATGCTGTGTCTGCAACATGGCATACGCTTGCGATGCCGTCCCTGAAAACCTTCCAGCATTTTCGAATACAACTGGCAGACCCTGTCTCAGCCCGGACAATGCAGCTGCTCTAGCATCAGCCCCCAGCCTCTCCAGGGCCACACTTTCCGCATTCACCTTGTTTCTCGCATTCTCCAAGGCGACTCTGCAGCTGGCAACCTCGGCTGCAGCAGCTGCTGCCTTCGCTTGCTTCGCCTGCTGCTCTGCTGGTGTCTCTGCGCCTGCTGCTGCTGGGCCTCCCAGGGCCAGCTGCAGTTCTCTCTCTTTCTGCTGCAGCTGCTCTAGCTTCGACTCTTGCTTAGACAACTGTATTTGGAGTTAGCCAAGACAAGAAAATGCAGATGTAGACTATGAGCCAAGGACGAACAGTGCTTCTAGTGGCTTAAGAACAAGAAGCAAATTGATAAGGAAAACAGCAGAACTGAAAGTGGCATAAAGTGGGTGTGTAGAGAAAGAGAAATATTCCTACAAGTGACTCGACACGTCAAATACTCCTCAGCTTAGTAACCGCACTCCTCCTCTCACCTGCTTCAAGCTGTCCTGCAGGAGTTTAAGCTGCTTCATTTCTGCCTTCTGCCGCTCATACGCCTGGTTGATCCACCCGCAGAACCCCATCACTGCATCCTTCACCTCCTTCTCTGGCAGCCGGTCCATTGTTCTCACCCAGTCATTCCCCAACGCCACTAGTGGCCCCTCCACATGCTGTTGGCCTGAGGAAACAAAAAACGGGCAGAGAAGCAGAGAGACACAGCCATTTAGCGCAGTGACTCACTGCATCCTTCACCTCCTTCTCTGGCAATCAGTCGATCGTTCTCACCCAGTCGTTCCCCAATGCCACCCGCGGCCCCTCCACATGCTGCTGGCCTGAGGGAATGGGAAAGGGACATGTGAAACAGACACACTGGGGGTGAGCGGCCATGCCTGCCAACCATGCTTCACATCACCTTCTCGGCCAGCCGCCCCATCATTCTCAGTCTCACTCATTTGTTTCCCAACACCGCCAACAGTTGGCCCTGTGTGAGAGGGGGAGGGGCCGTACCGGGGAGAAGTGGATGGGCCGTGCTGAAGGAAGTGTGAGAACGGCCACCTCAGCCATGCTTCACTCACATCACCTTCTCCGGCAGCTGCCCATCACATCACCCATCATTCTCAGTCTATCTATAGCATTCGTTTCCCAACACCGCCAACAGTTGGCCCTGTGTGAGAGGGGGAGGGGCCGTGCCGAAGGAAGCATGGTTGGGTCATGGTTGGTTGAGTTGAAGATTGATTGGGGAACAACGTGGGTACTGCTTACCTGGTTAGGGGGAGGCGGAGCGGTAGTAGCGCCAGCAGCACCGCCCGGCGCCCAGCTGGCCGCATACTGCCCCGGGGGAAAGGCCGTGCCAAGGAGAGGCGGAGGGGGAGTGGCGGGGGCAGCTTACCTGGCGGAGAGGCCGGGGGCGGAGCAGGAGGAGCGCCGGCAGCACCGCCCGGCGCCCAACTGGCCACGTATTGCCCCGGGGGGCCGGGGAGAGGGGAAAGGGGTTGGCTGGGCAATGGCAGGGCAACGAGGTGAGAACAGCTCACCTGGTGGAGAAGCAGCAGCAGCACCGCCCGGCGCCCAACTGGCCACGTATTGCCCCCAGGGGAGGGGCCGAGCTGGGAAGAGGCGGAGGGTCGGCGTTGGGAGGAGGAGGGGGATGACAAGACGATCAGCTTACCTGGTGGCGAAGCAGCGCTTGGCGCCCAGCTGGCCACGTATTGCCCCGGGGGTGGGGGGCGGTGGCAGGGAGAGATGGAGCGGCGGTGCGGGGAAAGATGGACGGGGGATAGGAAGACAATGTGGTGGGATGGGAACAATATACCTGGTGGGGGAGGCGGGGGCGGAGCAGGAGTAGCGCCAGCAGCACCGCCCGGAGCCCAGCTGGCCACGTACTGACCCGGAGGAGGGGCCGTGCCGGGGAGAGGCGGCTTGGGGAAGTCTGGGGGGAAGGCGAGGGTCTTTCGGACCCAGGTGATGAGTGCTGAGAAGAACTTGCGCTGTGCTGCGCATAGCACACTGGGGGAGTGGGGGGGGAGGAGCGAGTGAGGGGGAAGGATGCAGGTTGAGTTGGGAGGACTGAGGCATAGTCTGAAGGTCTTGCGCACCCAGGTGATGGGCGCTGAGAAGAACTTGCGCTGCGCCGCGCATAGCACACTGGGGGAGTGGGGGGGAGGAAGGAGGGGGGTGGGTGTGGGCAGGAGAAAGGGAAGAACATGAGGGTCTTGCGCACCCAGGTGATAAGGGCTGAGAAGAACTTGCGCTGTGCCGCGCACAGCACACTGGCGGTGGGGAGAGGGGGTGAGGGGAGAGAAAAGAATGGCATGCATTCACATCCTGACATGCATTCACATCCGGGCTTGCACTGACATCCAGGCATGCCTACACCGACGGCTAGAAAATACAATGCCATTCAAAGGGATGCATGGACATGACATTGACATCACAGCGCCATCCGGGCGGCAAAGAGACCTGGATGGCACTCCTCGCTCCTCCACCCCCTCATTCCCATCCAAAGGGATGCATGGACGCTGGCGTTGTGATGTCACTGTCACAGGACATGAACGACAGTGACATTACAACGCCAACCGGGCGGCTACCTGAGCGAGGAGGAGTGCCACTTCTTGAACGTGTCGTCCAGCTTCTTAGTCGCCTCGTGCTGCGCTGTGCGCTGGTGGTGCTGGCAGCACGAGGCAACATTGACGAGAGCACTGAACAACAATGCCATCCAAGGGGGCATACCTGAGCGAGGAGGAGTGCCACCTCTTGAACGTGTCGTCCAGCTTCTTGGTCGCCTCGTGCAGTGCTGTGCGTTGGTGGTGCTGGGCGAAGTGAGTCGACTCACAAGTCACCAGGACGTACATTGCCATTGATTGCCCTCACACTACACTATGACTTTTGAGGCGACTCAAAAGCCACCACATTAGCACCCTGGCTTACCTGAGTGAGGAGTGCCACTTCTTGAACGCATCGTCCAGCTTCTTAGTCGCCTCGTGCTGCGCTTTTGTGGTGCTGGGGACCTGTAGCAAGAGAAAGCGGCAGTACCACAAAAGCGCAGCACGAGAGAGGAATCATTCAATATAGCGGGGAGGTGAGGCTCCAGGAAAAGAGTGATTCCTGGAATCATAGCGGGGGGGAAAGAGTAGGGAGAGAGAGGAATCATTTGGGTGGGTGGGGAGATGCTGTTTCAGGAGCGAGAGAAATAATTGTGGTATGACAAAGGCCAGCTCACATTAGTCCCCATCATGAACCACATCCAGCCGCATTCTACCGCACACCACCCGATCCAACTTCACCCCAAGCCACCCCACCGCATTCCACCACACTGCGCACCTGCATGACACCAGGTGTGAGTGGCGCCTGCCCAGCAGTGGTGGCCCCCTCGTGGGTGACAGGTGGCATGTAGTGATTGGCCAGCATGGTCGCCAGCTGCTGCTGCTGATCGTGCAGCTGGGAGAGAGAGTGCCACGTGGACACCAGACTGGGGGAAGGGAGAGCGGGGGGAGGGGGGGAACGAGGAGGGGAGGGAGCATGTGTGTCATGCTCACGTGCAGCTGGGAGAGAGAGTGCCACGTGGACACCAGACTGGGGAACAGGGGGAAGGTGGGGGGGGGGCGGGGGAAGGTGGGGGAGGGTGCGGGGGGGAAAGGTTGGTGGAAGCTGACAGAGAGAGTGACACGTGGAGACCAGACTGGGGGTCGGGAGAGAGGAGGGGGGGGGGGGGGGGGGGGGGGGGGGGGGGGGGGGGGGGGGGGGGGGGGGGGGTGCAGGGTGAATGGGGAAGGGGGGGGTGTTGAGGAGGAGGGAGGGAATACGTGGACACCACACCAGAGTGAGGGGGGATGGGTGTTGGGGGGAGGGGGGACGAAAAAGAGAAGGAGCATGTGTGCGACAATTGTGTGTGCTCTGTGTGTGTGTGTGTGAATGCGTACGCTAGAGCCCGCCCCTCCCCTTCCCTCCCTCCCTCACTCCCTCCCTGCCTCAACCGCATGGCATGCCGTCACCACACTCCCTCTCTCCCCTCCACCCACCAACGCACCAGGGCAGAAGGCGGAGCAGCTGGGGGAAGAGCAGGTCCGTCTTATACGCCTCCACAGCATGGCACGCGGCATACCACGTGCTCATTCGCTGCACCTCCTCCTTCCGTGCCTTCCTCCCTCTCCACTGAACTCATCAGAGCAGCACTGAACGCACCAGGGCAGCAGGCGGAGCAGCTGCGGGAAGAGAAGGTCCGTTTTATACGCCTCCACCGCATGGCACGCCGTCACCACGCGCTCGCTCGCGCCCGCCATGCGGTGCTGCACGTCCCCCAGCTTCACCTGCGCGCCCTCCAGCTTCCGCGGATCCGCGTTCGCGTTCCCGCTCGCGCGCTTGGTTTCCGTGCGCACCCGCTTGTCTTTGCTTTTTAACTCAGTTCGAATCGTCTCCATGTCCTGATAGGCGGGGGAAGCGGAAAGGGAGGGGGGGTGGGAAGGGGAGGGGGGAAGGGACGGGGAGAGGTGAGAGGGGGCGCACCCGCTTGTCTTTGCTCTTCAACTCAGTACGAATGGTCTCCATGTCCTGATGGGGCGCAAGTACGGGTGAGGGGGGGTATGGGGAGAAGGACCAACGTTCGCGTTCACATGCTCGCGCGCGCTTGGTTTCCGTGCGCACGCGCTTGTCTTTGCTCTTCAACTCCGTGCGAATCGTCTCCATGTCCTGATAGGCGAGTACGGGGAATGCAAGTATAGGGGTGAGGGGGGAGTATGGGGAGAATGACCCGCGACCGCGCTCCCGCTCGCCAGCGCGGTTTCCTTGCGCACCCGCTTGTCCTTGCTCTTACAATTTCCCGAGGCGCCTCGTTAACTTTACTCACCCAGATCTTGTCTTTAATATCGCGCTCCCAGTTTAGCAGCTTCTGAACCGTGTCGCCAATACTCTCCAGCTGCCCGCCCTCCTTAGTGGCCGCCGCCACCGTCAGCGGCGGCACCGCGTTCTTCGGAATGGGCGCCCCGACTTTAAGCAGCTCCACCAGCGCCGTGATCCGCGCGGAAGCTTCCAGGAAATGCGCGTTCACCTTCTTAGCGAACTCGTCCGCCCACTTGTCGCCTAAAACCGCGCCGCCGCTAGGACCAACATAGGCTATTATTTGCCCCGATCCGCCTAGCATCCCTGATGACCCCCCCATCATTCCCGAAGCGCCTGGCGGCCCGAAATTCCCGGAGCTGCTCAGCATTTGACCGGAATTTCCTGCGCCATGCGGAGGCGGAAGCTGCGCCTGCGGCCGCTGCTCCCATCCCCCCGCTCCGCCCGCGGGCGCAGGCGGGGGCCCGCCGTACGCTCCGCCAGGGGGCGGAGGGGGCGGATATGCCCCCGAGTATCCCCCTGAATAACCACCCGCGGGAGGCGGAGCCCCGCCGGGGGAGCCATATCCGGGGAACGGCGGAGCGGGAGTGCCCTGGGGGGGATACGGCGGCGGCGGCCCCCCATACCCGCCGCCGGAGCTGGACTGTGGGTAAGCGGCGGGCGGAGTTCCCTGATAGGAGGGCGGAGTGCCTTGATAGGGGGGCGGAGGGGGATACGCGGAACCTCCCGGCGGGGGAGGAGTTCCGCCGCCGATCAGAGGCGGCGGAGGGTAACCGGAACCTGGGGGAGGCGGAGGGTAACCGGAACCGGGCGGAGGCTGAGGGTAAGCGGAACCTGGAGGGGGAGGGTAACCGGAACCGGGCGGAGGTGGCGGATACTGCGCGGAGCCGTACGGATAGGCCGGGGGAAGACCGCCGGGGCCTGGCGGAGGAGTTGCGCCAGGAGCCGCGTCTCTTGGCGGAGGGGGAGGGGACGGGGAAGGCGCAACCAGCTGCGGCGGAACGGGAGTCGGCGCAGGCAACGCCGCGGAACTTCCGGGACCCGCAAGCACAATCGAATTAGACGCCTCCGACCCACTTCGCTCCACCGCGTTTCCCGCCGCGTTCTCCGCCGTATCTCCCGCGGCCGCGCCTTCCCCGGAAACTTCCGACACCTGCACTGGCGGAACGTTCTGAAAGGCCTGCGGCGGAACATTCGCCCCGAGCGCGGACCCGATGAATATATTCGTCCCCTCGCAGTAGATTAACAGCGCGGTGCCGGCGGTTTTAAGAGAGTCCGCGTAAGCGGAGGACGCGTTGTAAAACTCCTTGTGCGCGTCGACGAGGTCCTTAGCGGCCGACTTTCGCGCCTTGCCGTACGCGGAGCCTTCGGAGAGCATCATTGACGGCATGTGCTTCGATATGCTGCTGCTTCCGCAACCCATGGCGGGCGACTCGGTAAAAAAAAAATATTAAGAACCGATCAGGCGATGGGTTTTACAAGGGAACGACTAATGCGACGGGAAACGGAGACGACGACCTTGTCGCCTCGCGTTGTCCAGCGATAAACGCTTATTCGTGCGAAAATGTCTATGGACCACACACGACCTTTTGGGTCACCGGACGTGCAGGTACAAACAACGAGGAGGTAGCTGCGAGCAACCGCCGTGCCTTGAAGCGCGCCTAACAAGTGATAGACTATCAGACACAGCCGACAGTGGAATGGAACTGCCTTGAAGCGCGCCAAACAAGTGATAGATAACCAGACACCTTTCTGTGCTTGCTACGCTACTTCAAGATATGCTTTGCTTCTGGTCCAATTATTTCCCGCAAGGACATCTGGTTTCCGCTTGGAGTCGCAGATGTTCTCAAGCCTAACGAAACACTCACGACGCTCGCCATTTTCCGAGAAAACTCTCTCAGCGCTCCCTTGTCCACACTGCGAAACCATATGATGTTCGCCACAGTTCGAGAAAATCGTTCAACGATTGCCGCCCTCTTTGTGGGGGGTGCTGTCGTGCCGTGTTCAAACGGGCAATGACAGCCAAAAACAAAGCAAGCGCAGGGAGGAGCGGAAGGGGGAAAGGTGGGGGAGGGGAAAGGAGATGCGGGAAAGTCTTGTGCCATCAGCTGTAGCACCCCCGACCGGAGAGCTTCCGCAGACCGCCAGCCATTCCCGCGGAACCGGAAGGAAGTCTCCATGTGCCGTGAATGACATGCCGCTTCTTATTGGTTGGTGGCGCTCCCACGATGCCCCTATAGGCTCGCTCTGAGCTCCGTTTCGTGTTGACAGGGGTTGAACCGTTCCAGGTCAGCTTGCGTTCGTTTTGCTGCCGTTCGTGTAGCGAGGGAAAAGAAGTGAGTATGCGCTGCGACAGATTCCCTCGCTCGAGTGTACCTGAATAAGGGCGTGTTATAAGAGCTTACCCCCATAAAAACCATAACAACTCTTACAATTCAATTTTGCAACCTTTGAACTCTTCTAAAATATATTTATAATAATAGATCATTAACTTCGAAGAGAACTTAATGCATTTTCTTATATATATTTTTTAAATATGCCTCACTTCTCAGCTTGCAGCTCACAATAATAGAGTTGGGAATATGAGCAGGTGTTGTACAGGTCGAAGCCATGATTCTGAATCCGACCTTGAGACGCGTTCGCGTTCCGTAATTCCCCATGCTGGTGTCAGCACCGATGCAGTTTGCCAGAATTACGCAAGCTGACGGTTGGTTGGCCGCAACCAACTCAGCTTCCAACTGTCGCCTGGCCGAGAGTTGCGGAACTCCTGAATTATGCAGACTCTGTACAGTTTCGAGTGTAACATCGTCAGCTCTCGCCAATCTTCGCTGCTCCCCAGCTTGTAGATCCATCTTCTCAGTATATGTGCTGGCAATGGCTGAGAACGGCGCTCACATCCAATTCCTAGTAAATTGCTGACAAGGAATCACATTCCACAGTTTCCTTCAGAAGACCTTCCACCGTCTCAACCTCCTTTCTTAGGTCCTTCTTACTCAGTATCTTGTGACAACAACGACTCACGTATCGCAGTGACTTTCCAGTTTTGGCTACAAAGCGCGGAACGCTGGTTAATTAAATAAAGCTCAATGGGTGCCGATCGGAGGCCGAAGAATCCCGTTCAGGTCGCCGTGTGGTGGTTAAAAAAGCAGCCGCCTAAGATTAAGGCGTTTCTCGGCGTATGCGTCGGGATCGCGGCGCTGATATTTCTGAGATTCATGGTTGTGGATCATGACAATCTCTTCGTGGCTGCCGAAGCTATCCATGCTATCGGTATCGGCGTGCTCGTCTACAAGCTGACGCGGGAAAAGAACTGTGCAGGTGCGTTTTGAGACGCCTTTCTTTTCAAATAGGCGCGGTGAAGGTGGAATTTCTTAGAAGTCACGTTGGCTCTTCGCAGATGTGCCGTCAATGTGTCCTGTCCTTTTAGGTTTTGATTAAACTCATTTCTACTTTTTCCTTTTTGTATTTCTAGATCGCTCTTTTTTCTGCTCTGTTCTCCACTGGTCACCGCTGCCTGAAACGACGGCGAAAAGAGACAGTGAAAACGATCAAAAGAGAAGCTGCACGAATCTAGTTTTTCGTGAAGCCTTTGAGCGTCGTCCATGATGACAAAAGGTTGAACTTTAGTTCAAACCTAGCCTTAAGTTCTCAAACCTGGCATTCCTTACTGTTTTCCCTCCTTGTGGTTCGACGACGGATGTTGAGAGAAAATTGCCTTACTGACCGTCCATAACTCTATTTTACCGTTGACTTCCCTCCCGTCGGATTTTTTTTTGTTCCCAAACATTTACCATTTATTTCATCTTCCCTTTTTGTTTTCCTCCATGGCATCGTTCTGCTTATTGCAGGCCTCTCCCTAAAATCTCAGGAGTTGACAGCGATATTCCTGGCCGTCCGATTGTACTGTAGCATGATGATGGAAAAGGACATCCACACGCTGCTGGATCTCGCGACGCTGGTTACCACGGCGTGGGTCATCTACACCATGCGGTTCCAGCTGCGCTCCACCCTTTCGGAAGACCTTGATAACCTCGCGCACGTCTACATTGTGAGTAACGAACAGATTTGCAATTATAACGAATCTACCATCAATATGGGGTCTGTCGATGCCAGTGTACCCGGCGTGGGTGACCTACACAATGCGATTTCAACTGCGCACCTCGATTTCGGAAGGCAGGCTACACTGACAATGAATTTCATTGTCATTGTAACGAATTTCGTTGTCATTGTAACGAATTTCTTTGTCCGCGTTTCTTTGCTTGCCACTTTCGCGGCTTCACGCCATTAACTGACTGTGTGATTGCAAGTCATCTGAAAGCCTATATAGAGTTCGATTGCACGTCTAATTTTGTCCAAATTCACCCGCGTGCCGTGGTGATTTTTACACCTTCGTGCTCTTCCTCCCTTTCCCTTCCCATATTCATCATTTTCTCCCCCCACCCTCCTCCCCCCCGATTTTCCCCCTCCCCCTCTCTACCCCTCCCCCCCCCCCCCCCCCCTCCCTCCCTCCCCTATGGTCTCTGCAGCTGGCGCCGTGCGCCATCCTGGCGCTGCTGGTGCATCCGCGCACGTCGCACTTCATCGTGAACCGCGTGCTCTGGGCCTTCTGCGTGTACCTCGAGGCCGTGTCCGTGCTGCCGCAGCTGAGGGTCATGCAGAACGCCAAGGTGAGCCGGGGTGCCAAGGTGAGCAGTGAGAGGGGGAGGCTAGGGGAGAAAGGAAGGGGGTGCACTTGGCGTAGAGTGGGATGGGGAAGAGGTGCGGGGGAGGCAAGGGGGAAAGGGTAAATCTTTGGCGTAGATGGGGGGATGAGTGGGGTCTGGCGAAATGGATAATGAACGAACACCAGGAATATGTGGATAACTGTTCCTCCAAATCCTACTCTCCTTACCTCCATTGCCCCCGCCTCCCTCCTCATCTGCTTCACACATCAAACCGTGCAGGTTACCTCCCCAACTCCCTCTTGTCCCCCACCCCCCCCCCCCCCCTCTCCTGTCTCCCCCCGCCTCCCTCATCCCCGTGCCATCAACTTCTTGAACCCTTCACAACAAACTCACCCTGTCCCTGCTCCCCTCCTTGCCTTCTCCCCTTCTTTCCTCCATCCCAACCCCCCCCTCCCCCCCCTCCCATCTCCCCTTCACGCTTGACCTTGTCTATGCTGGCACCGTTCCCCACTTTTCCCGACCCATCTATTCTCCTTTCCCACTCACCCGCCCTCCGCGGCCCGCACCCCCCTTCAACCCAAACCCCTTCTGCACCAATTGCTAGTCGAGCCCTTCACGGCACACTGTGTCTTTGCGCCCACTCACCTCCCAATTGTACCGCCCGTTTTTCTTGCTCCCATCCTCCCGCTCCTTCCCCCGTTCCCTCCCTCCCACCAGCTAGTTGAGCCCTTCACAGCACACTACGTCTTTGCACTCGGGATCGCCCGCTTCCTCTCCTGCGCACACTGGATCCTGCAGGTCAGTGCCTTGCTGCCGCTGCCTTGCATAGACACCATGGGGCATTGCTGCACTGCGCACGAGGGGGGGAGGGGGGGTTGCACCTGGTACTGGACCCTGCAGGGCAGGCATCCCGCGCTTCCTCTTGTGCATGCGCTGGATGCTGCAGGTCACGGCTGTGCTGCCGCTGCTTGCTACCATGCAAGCATGCCATGGGAGCCTTTGCACTTGGTACCTTTTAGCACCTGCAGCACGGGGATATGGCCTAGGAAACATGTGGTCCGCACCGCACCAGGTTCTAGCACGGTCATTACGCTATGCACCTGCGGCTGCTTGTGCGAGGGGGCGTTGATATGACCAAGGGAACGTGTGGCCTGTATTGCACCTGCTGCAGGCTGTAGCTCGTGCCACATCCCCGACTCGCCTCCCATTTCTGGTCATGCACTCGACTTGGAACCTCTTCTCGTCTGTCTGGTCTTCTCTCTGGTACAAGGTTAGAATACACCCCGACAGGCACCTCAGGTGCACTCTTTGGTAAGGTATTGCAGCACAGAGGTATGGGTGCATGCAACCCACTCTGCTTCATCAAGCCAATCCACAATTCTCAGTCCCAGATGGTGATTTTTGCCGCTTGACTGTTGCTTACCCCTTTCCCGCTCCTTTCCTTCGTCTTACTCTAACCGCCACCAGGTGATGGACGGGCACAGCTTCATCATGACCACCATAGGCTACGGCATGTGGCCCGCCATGGTGCTGCTGTCAGGGAGCCAGGGACCACACAGACCTTCATCCTCATCCTCGCTGACTGCTGCTTACCCCTTCATGTCCTGCTTGCCTTCCATTCTTGTTGCCCTAACAACCTCCTCCCCAGGTGATGGACGGGCACAGCTTCATCATGACGACCATCGGCTACGGCATGTGGCCTGCCATGGTGCTGCTGTCAGAGATCGTGCAGACCTTCATTCTCGCTGACTTCTGCTACTACTACGTCAGGAGGTGGGCCTTCAATTGTTGTCAGGGATTGCATACCTTTTTGGCTCACCGCCGCTGCTTCTGCCTAAAGACTGAAGATTCCAGTGCTTTTCTGCTAGTGCACTATATATAACCCTCAAGATCATGTGTGCGTGGGTGTGTTTCTGTGGCTCATATTTATGCCTGGTTGCTTGTTCTTGTGTGTGTGCAGTGTGATGGAAGGCCAGCTCATGGTTAGACTGCCTACAGGGGTTGTGTAAGAACCAGGCAAGGTAGCAATGCTCCTGAAGTGTTAGCTTAAACGATGATGAGATTTATTGCAGGGATAGCTTTCCAAAAGAGGGCCACAGTTTTAGAGCTCATGAATGTACCGTACACATCACGCGTTGCTGGGGGTTTTGAAGTGTGTTGCTGGGGCTTGGTGTTGCTGTAGGGGTGTACAATTGTGTACTTCATTGCTCTGCTTAACAGCTTACCGTGTTCTAGTGCACCGTTAATATTGTTGAAACTTAGCTGCCCGTATCGAAGTGTTTTTTACCGCGGAAAGGGACCTAGACTGCACATCCTGAATCCAACTGCTTCATTACGCTCTCCCATCTCCAACCGCAACTCATTATCACTGCGCTAGTGCCTGATAGGTAGATACATACTCGAGTCGCATGTTATTCACCAAGTATCCTAGAGAGTGACGACTGACTGGAGACGAATACGTGGAGACGGAGACGGTCGCCACACAGAAGGGAAAGTTGTGTCGGTGCACGAACCCGCGATTTTCGTTAGCCTCCAATGGTGAAGGAGAATCTGACTGAGCTTCTTCCACTTTGATCGTTTATTTCCTTCTATTTCCTCCTGTGATATTTATCGCAACTGATTGAATATGTTGACGCTTCACGTGAAGACGCCTGGAGCGCTTCGTAGGTGCTCCATTGACGTACCTGCTAACGTGCGGCTTGGCGAATTGAAGCAGCGAGTTGGCGAAGCAACAGGGTTACCCGCGGACGACCGGTTAACACTTATTGTGCGAGGAGCCGTGCTCGCAGGCGACTCGGCTTGTTCCTCATCGGCTGGACCTTCGGATCGTGCGAAACATTTGGACGGCCAAGATGCATCCGTCAATGCTTGTCGAGATGACAGTGTGTCAGACGCTGCCACGTTGGATCTCCGAGACGACGGTACCTTCTCATGTCACTAGCTAACTTTGGCTCAGATTGACATTGACGGCCATTCATGATCATGAACGGTCATGATTGGTCATTAACTATCAATCATGGCCGTTGGACTTCTGTCATGTCAGTGTACAGCCAGAACTGCAATCTTCCCGCTTCCTTTCCTCCCACAGTCACCCCTCTTTCCCACGTCCCCCACACCTCTTGCCTCCCGCCATCTTAACCCCAGACATCATACTCGCTACAGTGCGGCCCAGAGCACCCCCGCCGCAGGTGGCGAACGCTAGAGTGGGGGAGGCGGAGGAGGAAGAGGAGGAGGTGAGACAGGAAGAAACCGTTTTTTCGTTCTGATTGACGGGAAGAGGAGGAGGTGAGCCACTGGCTCGTATGATGGAGATCCTTGTGTACCTTTCCAACCTTCAACGGTTTCAACCCCCCCTTCCCCTACCTCCTATGAAGGAATTATCTGTGCTCTCTTCCCGACCTCCACTCCCCCCCCCTCATTTTCCCCAATGTTGAATGATACTCATCATCTGTCCTGTCTCTGCTTTGGATTCTCCTCTTCTCATTCCTTCTGCATCACTTTATAGCCCCCTCTTCCCTTTTATCCACCTCTTTTGAGTCGACTCAAAAGTCACTTTGAGTCGACTCAAAAGTCACTTTGAGTCGACTCAAAAGATTCACTTTATAGCCCCCTCTTCCTTTTTATCCACCTCTCCATCGCCCTGCCCAAAACCGACCTTTCACCCCCTACCCTCCCCCTTATCCACCGTCCCCACCCACCCCACCGAACCCCCACCCTCCCCCTTGTCGTTCTCATCAGGTGTTTGACATCCCAGCATCAGCATCGCCTCTCCAGCGCCGAATCTTCCTCTTCCTTCAAGACAAGTGCCGAATTCCAGGTGCCCTCTCTTTGCAGTCCAGGCATCTCTTCTTGACACAATTCCTTCCTCTTCTGCTTTCTTTCAATCTCCCCGATGTCAGCTACCCCTTTCAGCAGCCGTTGATGCCAGCCTAATTACCCCCTCATGGACCCCTCATGGACCCCCTCATGGACCCCCTCATGGACCCCCTCGTTTCCCCATCATCCCAGGTGACTCTTGAGTTGACTCTTAAGTCACCCCGATGTCAGTCTCATTACCCCCTCGTGGACTCCCTCCCTCGTTTCCCCATCATCCCAGGTTTCCTCCTCGTCCCCTTCTTCTGGCTGTCTCCACACAAGTGGCTGCTGGTCATCCTCTGGTTCATCGCTGCGCCGCTGCTTCAAATATATTTCGAGCTCGGCCCTCTCTTTGTGAGCAAGCTATCCCCCTGAGCATATCTGTCGCATTCGTTTCAAGATCGCCAATCACCTGGCTGAAATCAGGTCATTTCGTCCATCCTCTTTCCACCTGCCAACCGCCCACTTGTCCTCCATGCCTCGTTGCACCCCTGCAGATTTTGGGGTGAAGTGTCCCCCAACTACACCCCTGCAGATTTTGGGGTGAAGTGTCCCCCAACTACACCCCACCCCCCCATATCTCTGCCATGCCTTGCCACACCACTGCAGATCATGGGCACCTGCTCATGTTGCACTCACTCGCTTGGTTTCCTGTCCTTGTGCTCGCTCTCTCGGTGTTCTCCCAACCACCAACCACCAACCACCAACCACCAACCACCAACCACCAACCACCAACCACGAACCACCACATGTCCCCCATGCCTCGCTGCACCCCGGCAGGTCCTGCTCTTCTTCAACCTCAGCTCACGCCAGAAAACCAGAAGCCTTTTGAATCGACTCTAAAGGCTGAACCCTAAACCCCCCATGTGGCTTCAAATGCCTCGCCACACCCCTGCAGGTCTTGGGCACCTGCTTTGCGCTCATCTTCTTCAACCTTGGTACACGCCAGCAAGAAAAGCCTTTTGAGTCAGCTCAAAACCCCCACTTGTCCCCCATACCTTGCCATGCCACACCCCTGCAGGTCTTGGGCACCTGCTTTGCGCTCATCTTCTTCAACCTCGGCACACGCCAGCAGGGGGAAGCAAGGTGAATGCTTGTGCTTCCCAGTCTTACTGAGAAGGCGACTGTTTTATGCAGCCTTGTTTTATGCAGCCTTGTTTTATGCAGCCTTGTTTTATGCAGCCTTGTTTTATGCAGCCTTGTTTTATGCAGCCTTGTTTTATGCAGCATACTGACTCTCACAAACATCCATTTATCCTCAACCCCTCCTCTCCCCCCCTCCCCCCCCCCCCCCCCCCCACCACCCCCGTTTCCCCTTCCACTAACACCAGTGCCTACTCTATTTTCAACGAGGGATTTCAAGAGTTGCCAGGCACACTCAATGCACAGCGTCTGGATGAGCATATTAGAGCTGGGCAGTTTTAAATGCTGTACTCATGTAAATACATGCTATTTGAGGTTTGTTAACACGGTTTCTTGTCGTACAGGAGTACTTACCCTAGTAGCCGTTTGAAACAAATGTACATAAGAGTGTCCTCACTGAGGTCCTCACGCTTTGCTCAAGAATGATGAATGCGGAACGCTCTGTACCGGTAAGCCTTTGCGGACACACCTTCCCTTCCATCCAGGCTATTTAAAATTTTCAACTGGAATCCCGTCATTTTACTTCAATCGGTTGCTTACTCAACTCATCTATGAAAAATGGACCTTGTCCTGGCTGGAGGGATGTTGCTTGATATGTGAAATGAGTACGAGGAAGCTGAGCTTGAGACACGTCACACAAGGTCAATGCTTCGCAAAGAGCCAGCTGGCTGTGTCTGACGGCCAAGATTTCAGGCCAACACACATGGAAGATTTACCGTACTGTACGGAATTTGACTGGTTGCTGCAATAAGTGCACCAGGGAAAGTTATTGAATTTGTTTGTAAACAGTTTCCGTTATAACGCATCTCCCATTTCTCCCACCACTAAAAGAAAGTAACGGTACATGCAGTGTGGTACAGCATATTTACATTCAGCGTCGCCTTGCCTTACATTCCAATCCATCATCTCCTCTCCCACACTCTACTGCCCCTTTCGTTTCTGCCTGTCATCCCTGTCTTCTCGCCATTCCGCCCCTCCCTGCCCTCACTTGGACTCCACCTCTCCACCCTTGTGCCACTGCTGCTGCCACTGCTGCCTATGCTGCTGCTGCTGCTGCTGCTGCTGCTTCTGCCTCTGCTGCTACTACTGCTGCTGCCACTGCTGCTGCTGCGGCCACTGCTGCCCCCACCGCTGCTCCCACTCTTTCTTCCGCTTCCCCATGCCATCCCCCTCCCCTCATCCCCTTGCACAGGCCTTTTGTTCCAAAATCCGCCTCTACTCCCCCTCTCACTCTCCATAATCCCATTCTCCCCATTCTCGCCTATCTCTTTCCTGTCGCCTCTTCTGTCCCTCCTGCTCACCCTGCCCTCCCTGCTCTCTCTGCCCTCCCTGCTTGGCCGCCAGTCACCCCTGCTGCCTGTGCTAACAACTGCAGCATTGGCTGTTGCTGGTTGGGCCTCCCTCCTGGAAGCAAGGGGAAAGGGGGTGAGAGGAGGTGAGGGGGAGAGTTGGGGGATAGACATTCTCACCTTACGGCTTTTGAGGTGCCTCAGAATATAGAGAAAAAAATGACTCATGCACTGTGCCACATGTAAAGACATTCTCACCTGACGTCATGCTTACCTGGCATGATTCTCACCTGCCGTGCTGCATTCAGTTGCCATGCCTCTCACACTGCCATGCCTCTCACCTGCCATGCTGGCTGGCGTGTGCCATGCTTCTTGGGCTTACCTGACAGCTGCATGGGGCACTTCCTCTCCTGCCACGAGTAGGATGCAAGCTGAAGATGCTGCTGCTGCTGCTGCTGCTGCTGCTGCTGCTGCTGCTGCTGCTGCTGCTGCTGCTGCTGCTGCTGCTGCTGCTGCTGCTGCTGCTGCTGCTGCTGCTGCTGCTGCTGCTGCTGCTGCTGCTGCTGCTGCTGCTGCTGCTGCTGCTGCTGCTGCTGCTGCTGCTGCTGCTGCTGCTGCTGCTGCTGCTGCTGCTGCTGCTGCTGCTGCTGCTGCTGCTGCTGCTGCTGCTGCTGCTGCTGCTGCTGCTGCTGCTGCTGCTGCTGCTGCTGCTGCTGCTGCTGCTGCTGCTGCTGCTGCTGCTGCTGCTGCTGCTGCTGCTGCTGCTGCTGCTGCTGCTGCTGCTGCTGCTGCTGCTGCTGCTGCTGCTGCTGCTGCTGCTGCCGCATACAAAGCCTCTCAAAGATAAGACATTGTAAAGTCCAAAGTCACACATGCCACCCACGTGCCATGCTTCTTAAGCTTACCTGATAGCTGCACGGGGCACTTCCTCTCCTGCCACAAGCAGAATGCGGGCTGAAGGCTCTGCTCTGCTGCTGCTGCCACAGGGTTATGGCAGTATGGAATGTTTAAAATCCACAATCACACATGCCACCCACGAGCCATGCTTCTTCTTGGGCTTACCTGATAGCTGCACGAGGCACTTCCTCTCCTGCCACAAGCAGAATGCGGGCTGAAGATGCTGATGCTGCTGCTGCCGCCGCAGACACAGGCTTTCGGCGGTACGATGTTGCGATATCCGCAGAACCAGCACCACCAGCAGAGGTAGTTGCAGCAGTGGCGGCAGCAGCGGCGGCAGCTTCAGCTTCAGCCAGAACAGCATAGCCCATTGCCAGCCGCAGAACATCAGATGTGGCGCTGGCAATGTCCGTTACATCTCTGGTGCTACCCGTTACATCTCTGGAGCTGTCCGTTACATCTGCGCCAGTAAGCGCTGCTGCGGGCAGCACAAAGGAATAGCCCTCCTGTGGTGCAATCTCCTTCCCTGCCCGTGCGCAAGTATTCTTCAGCGGGCAGCGAGGGCAGACCTGCGAAAGGAAATCGGAACACAGAAAAGAAGGCGGTTAGTTGAGAAGCAGAGAGATAAAGGGACAAAGATTGCAGGGCGGGGAGAGAAGGCTAGAGTGAGGAGGGTGCAGGCAGGGGGGAGGGGGTGCAGGCAAGGGAGGGAGCAAAGGAGGGTGCAAGGGAGGGAGCAAGGGAGGGAGCAAGGGAGGGAGCAAGGGAGGGAGCAAGGGAGGGAGCAAGGGAGGGAGCAAGGGAGGGAGCAAGGGAGGGAGCAAGGGAGGGAGCAAGGGAGGGTGCAAGAGAGGGAGCAAGGGAGTGTGCAAGGGAGGGAGCAAGGGAGGGAGCAAGGGAGGGAGCAAGGGAGGGTGCAAGGGAGGGTGCAAGGGAGGGAGCAAGGAGAGGAGGGTGCGGAGAGGGTCAGAGCTAACCTCTTCCCCAGAGAGGGAGAGGTGGGAGCAGGGTTAGAGGGGAGAGAGGGGAGGGAAGGAGGAGAGGAGGGTGCAAGGGATGGAGCAAGGGAAGGTGCAAGGAGAAGAGGGTGTGGAGAGGGTTAAGGCTGACCTTTGCCTCAGAGAGGGAGAGGAGGGAGCAGGGAGAGAGAGAGGGGAGGGAGGTAGCAAGGGAGGGTGCACGGAGGGGAGAGTACGGAGAGGCAGAGGGGGGTGCACGGAGGGGAGAGTGCGAGGGAGGGTTAGAGCTGACCTTGGCCTCGGAGAGGGAGAGCAGGGAGCGCAGGCGCTTGGCTGCATTCACTGCTTTCCGGTCAGTTGACGGGCAGCCCGCAGAAACAATTGCTCTCACGTCGCCCAATGAGAAGGAGCTGTCATGGTTGAGATGGGAGAATAGGGAGAGGAAGAACAACAGGAGCAGCTTCGTGCACTGCACCTGGTGCAAGAATTGAACAGGCGCTTCAGACTAAATCCGTCATTCCGCTCATTACAAAAGCTTCACATCGTTGAAGCTCTAAACCCCTGAACTTAAACCCGAACCCTGAATCCTGGATTTCGAGCCCGCTCCTCCGCCTAAAATCTTGCACCATGCCTGGCGCTAAGACGCTAACACCATGCTCCGTGTCCCCAAACTCTCTTCCCTCCCTCCCCTCTTTCCCCTCCCCCCCTCCCCCCTCCTCACCCTCTCACTCTCCCCTTTTCCCCGCTTCTACCTGAACAGATGCGGCGAGCTTCTCGCTAGGGCCAAAACGGCGCGCTTCGCCTCTCCCTTGTCCGACAGAATCGTATCCAACCTAGAATCCGAAATCAAATCGGCGGGCGCATCCTCGTTTGGAGACTGTCCCGATACAGCGGCTTCGACAAAATCGTCTCTTTCGGGTACCTCTATTTGGGGTGTTTGTGACTCGTCCTTTTCAGTCTCCTGCTGCGCTGTCGAGGGTTGGCTGTCTGCGACTTCGCCACGTGCAGCCAGAAACCGGTGTGCGACAAGCTGCGACGCAAAGCGACGCCACTGATGCGACAACTCAGCGCTTTCCGATCTGTCGTTACTATCAGCTGATCGGACATCTTGTAGCGGGGATGTTCCTAGCGGAGAGGCAGTAGCATCGAGCGAGGAGCGCGTAGCGATCGACCGAGAATAAGTAGCGGAAAGGCGACTCGGAGGAGCCGCGCGAGAGATATGGTGGAACGGTGCTAAGGTGATTAACGAGGTGTGGACGCGCTGCAATCGCGGCACGGACGGGGACGCGAGAAGGACGCGCACTGGAGCCCGACAGATCGACATCTCAGGGCACGGACTCGCACGCGCTGCTCGTGTTGATCACGTTGATCCTGCTGATCGTGCGTTAACGGTGGCGATGCCGCGGTCGATCCCCCTAATTTGGCCCTTTACCCGAGCTAGGTGTCAGACGATGGCGGCGTTGGTGGTCGTATCAGCCGCAATGCTGACTTGGATGGGACGTAGTGGAACGTGGGAGAGTTTCTCTCTTCCTCCGACTCGAAATTTGGAAGGCCACTCGATAGTATGCTTGTAGGCTCCGCTATTAGCTTTAGGTGGCAGATCCATTTCATAAAACGAAAGGAAAATTATAACAGTGAAACTGTACCGAAGATCCCAACCAACCTTTTTGGATGTTGAGCTGTTGACTCCACGTGGCATGTACAGCTTTCAAGAAGACAGCGCATCTTCCGTATGACCACTGCTACCAAGACTGCACCCGATGCCACTATTGCTGCTGCAGATAACCCAGTCACTGATAATAGTGAACAAACGCCAGCCGATGTAGATCCTTCCGCTGATCCGCCTTCCGCTGACCTGCCTTCCGCTGATGCGCCGTCTGATGTGCCACCCGCTGACGCACCTGCCGATACACCTTCCGTTGATGTGCCTTCCGCTGACGAGCCTTCCGCTGACCCGCCTTCCGCTGACGCGCGTCCCCCGAACGCTGCCGCAGAAGCTGCTCCAACCGCAGAAATTGCCGTAACTGCCTCCCCCGCCGCGCCGCCAGCGAACGCCAGTACGTCAGCAACCTCCGAGATTACCCCAGAGCCTCTGGCTGAGACACCCGTTGCTGCCCCTGACACGGCGCCTGCCGCTGAAGCCATTGAACCCCCCAAATTGCGCAAGGTTTTGATTCCTTTAGACGACACGTCAGCAAGCCACGAGGTGCTGACGTGGGCGCTGGATCGGTTTCTGGAGCCGACGCGAGACTACGTGTTTCTGCTGCATGTGCTCTCGCCTTTCATGCCTGGGGTTGGCGGCCCCGCATCCGTGTCCGGCGGGGCGATTTCGCCATTTCCCTCCATGATTACTCTACCAGGTGCGTCCCCCCGTTTCCTGAGATCGCCACAAATCCCTTTTTCAAAATGCACAATAAACTGGGCCGCTTGCGTCGCTTGAAAGCTAATCCTTAACGGCATATTACAAAGAGGGTTAAAAGTCACACACGCCTCCCGTTTCTCCGCAGGACGAGACGGGGCATATCATAAATTCACACAAGCCATTGCACGTCAACCATGCTCTTAACCCCTCTACCCACTCCCTTTCCTCCACCATCCCTACCCCCTCCCCTCCTCCTCTCTCCCATCCCGTTCCATTCCCCTTCCCCTTCTGAAGCGCATTCAGAATAGTCAACGCATTCTATCTATCTACTTATCGTCTCACTGCTCCATTGAACCACATTCCATGCCAACTGTCAGGCCTGCATGTCAGCAGTGATGACTTGGCGCAAGCAGCAAAAGCACGGAAAGACGAGGCGCACGTGAAGCTGCAGGGAGTGGCCAGGGAGCTGGCAGAGCGCGGACTGGCGTGTGAAGGCCACGTGGAACTTGGGGATGCTCGCCACGTCATCTGCGATGTGGCAGGACACTTCCACGTGGATGCTGTGGTGATGGGCAGCAGGGCTAGAGGAGCCATGAAGAGGTATGGAGGCTTCATGGGGTCTTGGGTGAGAGGTTGGGTACGTAAGCTCACAGCATAGTGATTTGCTGTTTGTGTCAGTGTGGTAAAGGGTTCGTAGCCCTGGGCGTATGACAGCAACCTGAGTGAGGCGGTATGGCCTTGAGAAAGTGAACGTGGGAGACCTTAACATTAAGTGCTAAGGAATACAAGAGGGGGGTAAGCATAGTGTGGTAAAGAATGGAGAATGAGGGATTGGATGCAAGACGTAATGCAGGATACGAGAGGGAGTCATGTTCTTAAACTCGTTTTGGTTCATGTTTCCCAATGTCCCTTGACACTGCAGGATGATGCTTGGCAGTGTGAGCGACTACTGTGCACATCATTCCCCAGCACCAGTTCTTGTGGTGCGGCATCATCATGAGCAGCATCATCACCATCAACACCACCACCATGACCTTAAACAGGGTAGCGGTAGGAGTTCCAGCAATGCGCAGGATGCACAAGAGGCTGTTGGTGCATAGTGTTTAGTTTTCTGGTACCTGTTGCTTGCAGATTATTTATCAGAATGTAGCACAAAAGTCTACCTTGAAAAGTCTTGATATGTTCCACACCAAAGCTAGGCCAACCTAGTCAACTGTCAGAGGTGGTAGTAGGTAAATCAATCTGACCAATGTCTAGTGTTGAGTAGTGGTTCACATTCATCATGGCATAGACACTCATGGCGCACATGTTTGTGTGCACAGCATTCTCAAGTCATTGTTCGAGCCAACAGAGAGAGTGGAGAAGGCAACACTGGTGCTGTTGCTGCACGAAAGGAAACCCGTATGATTCGAAAAAAGTCTTAACCTGCAAAGAAAACAGCATGGCATCAGAAGCAGGTTGGGGACCTGGTGAAGTCCATTGGAGATAACGTCAACCTGACAAATTGGAGCAGCAGATGTGGGAGCAGTTGAGACATCACAAGTCCAGAACGATGTGGGAATGCATGCCATGTAATGGCACCATGAGCATCCGTCGGCTATGTTGTTCATAACAAAAAGAACAATGAACGCTGATGCCAGCCTGCAGGAAAGAGTTGGAGAGACAGATTAAGTAGGAACTTTGAAAGTCCTTGCAGCATTGAAAGATAACACAGCTGTTTCAGTCAGACTCACAGGGCCAGAAATACAGCAGCAGCAGCCATACGGATTCTTTGCTGCCATGCTGTGTATTTCATCGTCACAGGAATGCCTCGTCCCTCGCCCATCAACGTATCTATGGCAGCAGGCGTTGCTCTCAGCAGGCCAACGAAGCTGGGCTTTGGCCGAACCAACAGAGCAAACCCAAGGAAAAATCCTGAGAGGAGCCCGCCAATGCAGGTGAAGATGTCGATGTAAGGCATCAGTCCAATGGCAAGATTGACAAGTCCCAAGAGTGTCAGGACAGCAAGTGCTTGCCAATGGTTGTGGTAAAAGTTGAAATTGACAATGACTTCAGAAAAAGTGGCTCCGATGAGACCAAAAAGTGGGCCTGATACTCCAGCGGATATACTGTCGCCAAGAAACATGGCTGAAAACACAGCACTGGCAACTCCCGAAAAGTAGAACACGGCCAAGGGACGCCCTGCGATCGAAAGACACACATTAGAAAACATAATCGAAAACACGCAACTGCTAGCAGATATATGCAGCACACGTGCCTTGAAAATGCAGGCAGCCTACTGACACATACATGGTCCAAATTCCTGCTCCAGCCTGACGAAGACCACTGTGAGTGACAGGAGGTTGCAGATGACATGCACCGTGCCAGCGTGCAGCCACATGGTCGTCAGAAGCCTCCATCCCTGGCGGTGATTCCGCACCAGATCCGCATTAAGGGCTCCCATGTTATGAAATCTGTCCAGGCGTTGATAGTTGCATACGACAAATGACGAAATTAAAATACAAGACGAGGCTGTCCTTTGACCTTACCGTCCCGTCCACTCACGTGCGTGCAGACGGCCCAAAGAGGGGATTTACTCTCTGCGGCTCAAAAGAGAATCGGTGTAAAAACCTCCATATGCAGGTCTGGCCATCAGGGTGAGCATGCCGCGGACAGTTATTCAGACCCATAGTCACCAGAAACACAATGAGGAGGCATGTCACCAGAACCGGTGTCATCCAAGGGAATTTCAGCGGCGGTTTTTCACTTGACGTTTTTTTCAGGGTCTCAATACGCTCCAACGTTGATACGGAATTCCCAGAAGTTGAAATTGGAGGAGCGGTTGAAGTAGAAGTTGAGCTAGCAGTTCTCGTTGGTGACATTGCAGGAGAATCAGCCGTGCGAAATCTGCTACTGGTGAAAACTGTGGCATCTTCTCGCGATCTTGTCATCCGTGGAGTCTCGGCTTGAGACAATCCGGACACAGAAGGAGAAAACGGCGGACGAGGCGGAGGAGCGAGAGGAAACTGCCATAACGAGCTTCCAGATGACAGCGACCGATGATGACCAGAATCTTGATCAGAATTCGTTCGAGAGTTACTCAGATTTCCGGACAGGCCAGGATAATCGGAAAAGCCAGGCGCCAGATGGCTCGGGAAAGGGCTTCTTCTTGGCGAGAAACGACCGTAAGGAGAAGCTGCTGAGGATGGTGGTAACGGAGAAGCATCGTTGACGAAGACGTGCGAACTAGACGCGGACGAAGCAGTAGCGGACGACCATCGCGGAGCAGAGGCTTGGCGTTGGGTGAAGGCATTGTCATCATCGGATTGCTCGATTGGCATGCCATAAGGTCGCTGCATGATTCCAGCGAGGCCCTGAGCCCTACTACGATGCTACCTCAGCATTGATCACCAACGCACAACGGATGAATGCGCGTGAGGTCCGCTAGCATGGATTCCGCATTGCATCAACACTCTCATCAGGACCTGAAATTCTGAATAGATTCTGCGAGCTGAATTTGATGTTGACCAACCAAAGGTTTTCAGATGCCTGAGCTGAGCGTAGGTGATCGAGGGTGGTTCATCGAGGGTGGTTCATCGACGGTGGTTCATCGACGGTGGTTCATCGAGCTCACCACCGCGCAGGAGTCCTCGCAGCGTACCTAATACCCAACATCACCGCTCGGTAATGAAAAAATTTGAGGCTATTTGCAGTGCAACATTAACATAAGCACCAGTGTAGGTAAGTTCTAATTGCAACAGGGTGGCTTACACCCTACAAAAACGCTTAGCAGAACACTCTGCCTTGGAAATGCATTCAGACCTCAACGCCAGGGCATCTCACTTGCAACCCAGGATGTGGCTCACGAGAATCAACTGCACTCAGCCACCCTTTGTTGGCTCGCCGGACAGGGGAAGGTTGCGGCGATCCCTTCTGTGCTGCAACCCCTTGCAATGTCAGGGCCAAGCCATTATTCACTTTAGTATGTATGGGCTTGCTGACATGGCACGCAGGTGAGCTGCTGTTGCTGACATGGCGGTTAACATGGCGGTCATGGAAAATCATCTGTGTGCTCATCATGCGATCATGACCGATGAGACAGAGGCGATCAGGATACACATCAATCTGGCCGAAGGCTGAGGTTCCTGTCGGGCATTCAAGAGCCTGCCAGAGGTAAGGGGGGGTGGATGCATGCATAAGCAAATAACATCATCCATACGGCACAATTTTTACATTCCCACTTCACCTCCAAGCACTGATTGGAAAAAAAGGGGGGGAAAACACGAAATAGCTCCAAAAGAATAGAGCATTTCATAACCATGAAATGACCAACCGAAAGTTTCCACTCACCGCCTCAAGAATCCGGTGGTGAATGCCCTTGTCGTCGCAGGTGTATGCTCCAAAGTGTGCGTGGCCGGAAATGACCGCCACCGCACAGTCATGCTGCTGAATGGTCGCGAGAACCTGATGAGGGACATGCACAAAGTCAAGCAGATTAGACAAGCGCGGATAACAAAGAGGGCGAGAAAGCGGAGAGGGGGAAGGGGGGAGGGGGAAGGGGATGGAGGAGAGGAGATGCGGGGGAGGAAAAGGTACGAAGAATCAATGCTTATTTCGAGATCCAGCTGTATAAGGAGCAGCATTCACCTTGTCATAGTTCCAAATGAGGCACGTGGAGGTGGGAAGAGCGTTGGGCTCCACAGGCAGGTGACAGCAGATGATCACCGTCTCCCCACACTCATCGCTCTCCCTCAACACCCCCTCCAGCCACCCCAGCTGCGTCTCACTCACTCCCCCATTGAACTTCAAAAACCGCCGCTGCATCCCCACCATCCCCTCCGGGCTGTTCTTCTCCTCGTTGGGATTCTGCCGCCCGAGAATCTCCGCTGCCAGCTCAGCGTGCGGGTGGCCGGACGGCCAGCCGATCATGCTGATGTCGTACGGGTCGAGAACGACGAGGCGGAAGCCGGGGAAGGGGGAGAAGTGGTAGTAGGAGCGGTGGTCGGCGGAGGGCGGCATGGCAAGCAGCTTGTTGAGGGTTTTCCGGGGAAGATTGTACAGGCAGTGGTTGCCTGCAGGGGTGGGTGGATACAGGGAATTTCACACATTGAGCAAATCTGCATTGAGCAATGATGCAACAATGCTGCAAGGACCAGAAGAAGATAAATGAGATAAATTAGCAATGATACACCTGCCGCGAGGAGCATACCTAGCATGTGGTACACGGGTCCGTTGGACAACTTGCCGAACTCGCCCAGAACCTGCAATGGAGAGGATGGCGGGGAGGCGACGAGATGGAAGGAGGCGGATAGAGCCACAGGCGGAGAAGGGGAAGGGAGAAGGAGAAAGGGAAGGCATTGAGTCGATCAGCATGAGATTGGGGAAAGGGAAGCTTGACGAGGCAATGCAGTGGGGAATGGGATGGGAGAGCGGTAAGAGCACGGCGTGCATTAGATGTGGTACTGAGGCAAGGGAAACTATGAGGCGTTTCTCCTGGAAATCCGGCGAGTGCTGATGCATTACCGTTTGAAATGCCTCGAGCGATTTTTCGCGAGGGCAGAGTCCGTCGACGAGGTCGCCGAAATGCACTGCGAAGGAAATGTGGTTCGTCTCGTGGTTCCAGTCGCGAACCGCCCTCTTCACCACTGCCAAACCACAGTCAGCCAACCGTCGCGTGACGGGTGTCAGAACAATGTTAGGAAAGATTGTCGGCATGAATGCATTGGCCCAACCCAACTACTTCCGACGACATTAAAACATCGGAGAACGAAGGCGAGAGACAATAATTCCGGCTGACATGAAGAAAACGGGAAAACGAAAACTAACCCACCTTCTAAACTGTGTCGGTAGAATCGAGGGATGCCAAGGAACGAATGACCGTCGTCGATATCGGCGTACTGCACGTCCGTCATCACGCCGAACGAAAACAGCGGCTTCTTCCCCTCCGCGTCCTCCCTCTGATAAAAATACGACCCGGCCACAGACGGTCCGAGTGCTCTGCGCTCCGCGATCAGCAGCTGCTGCAGATTCCACCGATCGCGGCTGGCTCGGCGCGCGAGACGCTGCTTGTTCTGGCGCTCCGTGTCGGTCCCGTTCCCGCGGTGGTCCTCGCAGTTTTCGCTCTGAAGATGCCGGATATGGTGGGGGCTATCGTCGTCGGAGCAACTGCTGCTGTTGCTGCCGATGATCCTGCTGCTGCCGCTGCTCCCGCTGCTGTTGCTGTGCGACGACCCGTCGTCCTCTTGCGACGCGTCGTCGCAGTCGCCGTCGTCAACGGCTGTCGGCGACCATTCCGGCCAATCGTCGTCGTCGCAGCTCGAGCCATTCTCCGCTGCGGCCTCGAGAAGCTCTTTCTCCCGGAGAGCCGCGGTCTCGGCGGCTTTCGCGCGCTGCTGGAAGAGCGCGAGAAAATCGTTGGTCGGTTCGAGAGCACGAGGCGGACGGGGATGGTACCCGAGCGGAAACGCCGGCGCGAAAGCCGGAGGTACGGACGGCGTCCGCGAGGGAAATTCTACTAGCGGTGACGACATGCTCTTTGACAGAAATGGCTGACGTAGAGGTATGCGTTTCCGTCGCTATAATAACACCTTGTATGGGCAGAATAATTCAGAACGGGTAAATTTGGTGAACAATGACAAGTGACTGCGGATAAGGATGCTTTTTTTCTTCTCCTCCTTTGATAGTTCAGTCTCTGACCAGTGAATGGCAGAAACGTGTCTCAGTGGGGTCTGAGAAAATGAGGATAAAATTCTTGACGATAAAAGCGGATACTCCAAGCGAAATTGTCGGTAGAGAAAGTTACTACCGCAAGATTGAAAGAGAAGTAACCGGAGTATGGTTCAGTCACAACGCCAAGACAGAAGGGAGCAACTGAACTCTGTGTAGCCGCTTATGTACAAAGGGGGCTCGGCAACGGTCTACCAAACTCTCTCAATTTCAACGAGCTCCACTGATGTCGTTCTTCCTTATCTATGGCTTGTGGGAGGAAGGGGGACAACTACCGGAAATGTGGGTCACAAACATCACAGTAACTGACGCTGCAACTAAGGAAACTCAAAACCCTATCATAAAGGCGTGTAAAGCAGAAAGAAAGATTAGGAGCACGAGGGAAAAAGAACGGCGAGAGGACAGGGGGTTTGACGGAAGAGAGGCGATTGGAAGGTACGCCAACAAAGCAGGACAGCGCCAGTGGGAAAAACCGCGCCAGCTAGGGAGCGCGAATGGAGGCCGAGGGAATTTGGTCTTCCAGTCACTCGGATGGGTCGCATGCGTGGCAACATGGCGGCGCGAGGTTGGCATTGCGCTTCGCGGGCAGATGCATGGGAAGAAAATGCTGCGGCTCCCAGCCCCTGGGAGTTGCCACACTTTGGGATGTTTTCCCAATGGGCACCAGTTTCAGCAGGTCCAGCACCGTGCATGAAACTTTTAACACTCTTCATTTGTAAGCACTTAGTGAGTGTGCCCAATCTCCAGGCATGGTCCCAACACAATATTGCGGCATGAGTTCTGCTTGAATTACCCCAGACGGATGTTGTTGACGCCGAAGTTTGCATACCAACTGAAAACAGGTATGATCCAAGTCAGCATCGCCGCTTTCCAGCCCGCTTTTGGGGCGATCTGCGTGAGCGATGACGTTCGTGTGACTGTGTCCACGTGAAGTCTTGACAAGCGTGTGATCAAGCTCGGCCATCTCAGCGCGGCGGGATTTCCTCCACAGATCTTGCCGACCAAAATGTCGTACCCAATGAAATGGACAACTGACACGCATCATATGTTCGCGCGTGCGACAAAATAGGGAGGCAGATTTGCACCAAGTTGACAGCGACCAAGTAAAGTACACATACAGTTTTCGTTATCAAAATTTGCACTATGTACATTATGCAATTCAATGAGATAACACATGACAACTTCACCACCCGGTCCTCCTTCCAGGTTGCATTTTCTTCAACTGCTCTTGCAGAATAGAAACTTCTTTTTTCAGTGATGTTGCACTCCTAGGCTCGGTCCGAACCCTACTAAATTCTTGCTCCAATGATGTGGCTTTCTGTTGAATTATATTGCATATCCTAACTGCCTACAGCTTGCTAGTGTATTAGTTAGATATTAGGTTCAACTGCTGGTGGTGTACCCTTTTCCCCTTCCTCTCCTTCCTATTTGTACTCCCAACTTCATAATGAAAGCCTCTCTTTTGGCCAAACTTCTCCCTCCATGATTCTCCTTACTAAACCTCTCCTAAACCTAAGTACTGCATAATCTCCTAATCTTAACACTTTCTTGTTGGATGCTTGAAGCTCCTTGCGCACAGTTTCCACATCCACCTTCCCTTGTCTCTCTGCGAGGGATATAGACTGGCACAATAAACGGTCAAAAGAAGGAGAGGGGGGGGAGGGTTGAAAACAAGCAAAGAAATAAAAGGAAAGAGAACAAGGGGTGGTGAGGAGAGAGCGGGTGGTATGAAACAAGCTGAAGGTTGGGTGTAAGTATTTGGCACAACTCAGCATAAGGGATGAAAAAGTTGGGCTCTTGATGGGTTCAACGTGGGAGGAAAGCGAAAAAGGTTCTAAAAAGTTATAAAAGTTGGGCATCAATTTCTCACCTTCTCCAGCATGTCGAGCCGTCGGGCCATCACCTGCCCCTCCTGCCTCATCTCCACCACCAGCTGGCACGCCGCCCGCAAATGCCCCTCCACCCGCTCTCTACAGTGCTTCGCCACGTCCTTTTGCAGCAGAGGCAGCGTGCACCCCATAGGGGCGTACGGACAGGGGACGGATTTCATCCCACAGTCCGTCGCACAGTGCCTCTCCATACCCGCTCGTGCTATCGTCAGTCTACACCCCTGCCGGCACGGCAGCATCTTAAGGGGGCACTTCTTATCGTGTACGCCCATTCTGTACCGCGACACCCGCTCCCAGCAGGGCGTTTTCGCACACTGGACCTCCTCAAACGGGCACCGTTCCCGGTGTGACTCCAACCCCGCGACAGTGCCGAACTGCGCCGAGCAATGCGCGGCACCCGCAGCGTCAACGCGGCGAATCAGCGACTGAGCAAGGTTGATCCTTAAAGCCTTGTCAAGCAGGTCAGATTCCTCTAACTGCTGAGCCAGAGACGCAACCTTATCTTCAGTATATTCCACACGCCTGAACGCGGATGAAAAGCGACTCAGCAAGCTCTGGCGCTGGGCCACAAACTCGTCTAGAAGAGCCTGGATGGTGGTAACCACAGGAGAGTTGAACGGCTGCTTCTCCTCTCCATTCTGCTTCTCCTGCCGCACTCCTGACACCGAGGCTTCTTTCCTTGAACTACTAGCTGCAGCCTCTGCTCCACCCTCTCCTACCTCTCCTCCTCCCCTTGCTCCTCCATTCCCAGCGTTTCCGCCCTCTTCTTCCTCTCCCCCATGCCCGTGCCAGACCCCAGTCCAAGCCTCGGTAACATCAGCAGCAGCAGGAGGGGTTACAGCAGGGGCGGTGAGGCTCTTAGTGCGGGAGTCGAGGAACGTGAGCAGCTCGCCTTTGACTGCCTCTGCTGCTTCTAACGGGGATGGAGGGGAGGTGAAGAGAGATACTGAGCTCTCCAATTGGTCGATTGTGGCCGCTGCTATGGCAGGAAGCAGCCTGGAAGCCACAGCTCTGACCTGGGAGATACACGTTGGGAAGGACCGAGAAGCAATAAGAGGTTGCATCAGCACGAGTACTAGCATGCGAGGCAATGGCACAATCAGAGATGCAAACGAGGTTCTGAAAGCGGCTATCTTGCCAGGCGTCTCTAGTATGGTACTGTAGGGAGGGAGAGGTGGATGGAATGGAAAACAATATGGCTGACTGACCACCAGTGCATTTGAAAATGATTACAGGTAGAAAAAACCCTCTACACACGCTTCGTTTATGGGATGATCGTTTTTTTGCAGACAGTCACACAACATGTATCACACTTAATACCGATTCGTACCTGCTCCACATCAGAATTGGGACACTGAACGCTCCCCAGAGGGTCTGTAGCTGTCGTTACACCGGACCAATAGACAAGCCCAGACGCTGCTGCTGCTCCCTCCGCTGACCCCAACTGCACCTCCGCTCCCCCTGGCCCCCCCCCCGCCTCCCCTATTCCCGCTTCCACCTCCGCCTCCCCCTCCAAACCCCCGTTTCCTTCTTCTCTACGCATGGCTCTCCCCCTTTCCCCTTCCCCCGCGTCCGCGGATGCGCGCCTTTCTCCCCCCCCGTTCCCCGCTGCCGTCCCCGCTAGTTCCTCGAGCTCCACTTCCTGCTGCGCCGGTGACTGTACGGAGGGGGAGAGTGGAGGTGACAGATCCGGGGGTGACAACGGCGAGGGGAGCTCTTCCGCGAACGGCGACGATGGAAAGAGGGAAAACGCGGCAGCTAGTATCGAGGGCGAGGAACTAACGGCGGATAAGGTTGGCTGCGGTGATGCTGCTACTGCTGATGCTGATGATGATGCTAGTGTTGATGCTGACGAGGCTGAATGTAAAGGTGCTGCGTGTGGTGACGTGGAATAGGCTGGTTCCAAGGAACCGGAGACTCCTTCAGTTCCAGCGATACCCGCGTTACTGTCACAAACTTGTACAGTCACACCAGGAGACCTCGCGTGGTCGCGCTTCGACGGATCAGTCGATCCTGAACCGCCTATTGTATAAATTCCTGTCATTTCCTCCGTTACAGTCCCCTCCGCTAGAGGAACATCGTGGTATTCCTCCGCGTGCTCTTCCGTTGTTCCCGGCCTACAATCTCGAGATCCTCGACAATCCGTCGTGGCAATCCCATCGGCGCAAGCGACGTGATCCGAATTCCCGACATGATCTGCGGAGCCGCCTTCGCGACTGCAATCTGTCAAAGCCGCGCTCGGCGCGGCTTCCGATGTCATATGGGAGCGTTCTAGCAGGTGCGAAGGAGAATAACCACGACGAAGAAATCACGTGACGGTTGGAACCGGTCAAGCGACACCGCGACTACAAGTAATGAAACGATTTTTGAGGCGCCTCAAAAAGCGACACTACGACTACAAGTAATGAAGCGGGATTCTTCCACCTCACTAAAACTAGGCAAGTGCCTGCCTGAATGCTTGAAGCGGGATTCACGCTGACAAAGATTATCACTTAGGCTGGGGAAGCTTGAACCTCCTTGACTTGGCTTGATGTCAAAACTATTACTCGCTTGAGAGAGGCCCGACTTGCTGCTCGTCATGTCTATTGAAGTAACCTTGATAATGGGAAACCCGAAATCTCGAGTTCCGATATTATGTATGGTGCAAAGTAGTGGAACATTTTGTTTCACTCGACAATGTCGGAGGATTTCCCAGTACAGCTTATTTCCGTCTCTCAATGTGCCCCCCATCCACCAACATGTTCGAATCGAATCAGACCCACCAGCCCCGTCAGACAACCATTCGCTCACCGCAAAATGCGGCCATTCATGCCCTGTTCCCGTCTCTCCGCGGTATCCCCTCCCCTCGCATCTTTCCCCGCATCCGCCGTAATTCACACTGCGCAGCTGACTCCTCAATCCTTCCGCCAAACCCCTCCGCCAACGTTCCCTCGTCAAATCCGCGTCCTGAATCACCTCCCCTCCGCGCAAGTACATAAGCGCGCAGTTTCCCGTCGCCTGGTTGCGCGCAGCGGCGCGCAGAGCGCATATAACGGGGAGGCTGACCGCGGAGACGATTCGCGCGAGCCGTTCCAGTCAGGAGGCGGCGATGGGGGCGCGGGGGGGGAATCCGGCTCTTCCGAGTCGGAGGCGCGGCGGCTTGCGCTTGACGACGCGGCTCGGGCGGAGATGAGGGCGCGATCTGAGCTCGCGCTTGCAGCGGTGGCGAAAGGCTCCGGGGGAGCGACTGCCGCGGCGGGAGACGCGCCAGGAAACGCGGCGGGAAACGCGGCGGGGGATGCGGGAGGGAGTGGCGAGAGCGGGGACGGAGGCGCGTGGAAATGGGCGGTGCGGAAGGGCGTGTGGGACGAGCTTGAGGCGCGTGACGTGGCACGACCGCCGCGCCCCGTGCACCACCGAATTCCCAACTTCGAAGGGGCGGACAAAGCTGCTGGCATGGTGAGCGAGGGGGAAAGGGGGGAAGCGGGAAGGATAGGGGCCGTGCACCACCGCATCCCCCACCACTGCGTCTCTGCCCGAGTTCCAGGCAGCAGAGTGCATCGGTGAACCCCTATTCCCATCGGTGAACCCCGACACACTAGTAGTTCTGACTTTCTCCTCCCCCTCTCCTCTCCTCCTCTCCTCCTCTCCTCCTCTCCTCCTCTCCTCCTCTCCTGCTCTCCTCCTCTCCTCCTCTCCTCCTCTCCTGCTCTCCTCCTCTCCTCCTCTCCTCCTCTCCTGCTCTCCTTCTCTCCTCCTCTCCTCCTCTCCTGTTCTCCTCCTCTCCTCCTCTCCTCCCCCACCCCTCCCCCGCACCTCAACCCCCTTGGCAGCTCGCATCGTTACCAGAGTTCCAGGCAGCACGGTGCGTGAAGGTCAACCCCGACACGCCTCAGAAGGCCGTGCGCCTCGCGGTGCTGGAAGGTGTGTTGTGTGCATGCATGCAGCAATCGTGCAGCTGTGCGTTCGTGTGCGGTCGTGTTCAGTGCAATTGACATGGAGTGGAGTCGCTCGCACGACCCAGTGGGCTGCTGAGGGTGTGTGAAGGTCAACCCCGACACGCCTCAGAAGGCCGTGCGCCTAGCGGTGCTGGAAGGTGTGTCGTGCAGTGAGCAGAGCATAGGCATAGGCTATGTAGCATAGGCATAGGCTATGTAGCATAGGCATAGGCTATGTAGCATAGGCATAGGCTATGTAGCATAGGCATAGGCTATGTAGCATAGGCATAGGCTATGTAGCATAGGCATAGGCTATGTAGCATAGGCATAGGCACACTGCCGCACTGTGCTCCAGTGTGGCAGCCGATGCAGTGTGGTGAGCTGCGTAGGCTGCTTTTGAGTCGACTCAAAGGTTGCATAGGCTGCTCGCTGCATAACAACCTTCAGACCCTTTTCAGCGGGCAGGAGCATAGGCATTGGTTTGCCAAGCAGTAAAAGGTAACAGCCATTTGTGCAGAAACCTTTGCGCTGCCCTGCTAACCCACCCCAGCCCCACCTGCGAACCGGTTTCTTCTCCCGCCTCTCATGTTTCCTAGTACCTTACCCCTATACCCACCCGTCGCTTTTCTCCTTCCCCGGCTGCCCTTCGCCCTCCACCCCCATCCAGGCCTCAAGCTCCTGCTAACCCCGCAACCGCGCCTGCGCACCGGTTTCTTCTCTCGCCTCTCTGCCGACCACATACCGCCCGACCAGCTGCTTGCTGCCTGCACAGCGGCCGGCGTGGCTCGGCACGGAGTGCCAGTGGCGCTAGAGGACAAAGTTGCGGTGGATATGGTGGTGCTCGGGTCTGTTGCGGTTGACCCGACGACTGGTGCCAGGCTGGGGAAGGGCGAGGTGAGTGGGTATGGGGAAGGGAAGGGGGAGGTAAAGAGTAAAGGGGAAGGGAGAGGTGTTTTTTCATCATTCATTGTTGCATGCATTGTGGCAGGCGTTGAACCATGCAGTGCAGTATTCGGTGCAGCATGCATTGCAGCATGCATTGCAGCATGCAGTGCAGCACGCAAGTTGCGGTGGATATGGTGGTGCTGGGGTCCGTTGCGGTTGACCCCACCACTGGTGCCAGGTTGGGGAAAGGCGAGGTGAGGGGAAAGGCGAGGTGAGGGGAAAGGCGAGGTGAGGGGAAAGGCGAGGTGAGGGGAAAGGCGAGGTGAGGGGGACGGGGTAGAGGGAGAGGGGAAGTGAGGGGGAAGGGGAGGGGGGAGAGATGTTTATGCTTTGCTTTATGCATTGTAGAATTCTTCATGTTTTCTGCTTAATCCCTGACCCACAATGCCTTTCACATTTGGGTGATTGCAGTCATTGAGAGGACTGCTGTGGTCACCACCACCTGCTCTTACCGCACCACACCGTGTGCTACTCCCTCCTCTGTGTTATACACCCATTTTTGCCAATCCTCGAGCCACAGGCTTTGCAGATTTGGAGTATGGTATTCTGAGGTGGATGGGGGCAGCCACTGACAAGAATCCTGTGCTCAGGTCACCACCTGCTTTTACCGCACAACACCGCGTGCTACTCCCTCCTCTGTGTTATACACCCATGCGTCAATCCCCGAGCCACAGGGCTTTGCAGAGTTGGAGTATGGCATTCTGAGGTGGATGGGGGCAGTTATGGACGACACTCCTTTGCTCACCATTACCTGCTCTTACCGCACCCCACCATTTCATAGGGCTTTGCAGAGCTGGAGTACGGCATTCTGAGGTGGATGGGGGCAGTCACAGACGACACGCCTGTGGTCACCACTGGTAAGCAAGCACACATGGGATAGGACAAACCCGGACTCATTAGTCACATTAAGTCAACTCAATGTGCGCCTTGAGTTGAACCCCGAACCTCAACCCCCCCACACGACCCACCCACACCACAAAAGCCCCACCTTTACTCCTCACCCACCCACTCACCCACCCACCCACCCACCCACCCACCCACCCACCCACTCACCCACCCACCCACCCACCCACCCACCCACACACACCTTGCAGTGCACGACAGTCAACTGGTGGCACCAGGGGCCATCCCCACCAGCAAGCTGAGGCACCACGACCTGCCAGTTCCCATCATCTGCACGCCAACTCAAATGAACCCCCCTCTCCCACCTGTCACCCCGGCGCCCCGCCCCAAACCCACCACCAGTGCACGACTGCCAGCTAGTGCAAGCGGGCGCCATCCCAACCAGCAAGTTGAGGCAGCACGACCTGCCGGTTGACATCATCTGCACGCCAACTCAGATCATCCGCGTGACTTCCAAGATTCCCAAGCCCTCAGGTGAGCTGCCTTAGGTCGCGAGTTCAGATGTGCAGACAACCAAGGCACGACCTGCCGGTTGACATCATCTGCACCCCCGCACAGATCATCCGGGTCTCCAGCAAGATCCCCAAGCCCTCAGGTGATGGAGGGTATTGTCTTTTGAGGCGCCTAAAAAATGACATCTACTGTGCTTTGAGTCGACTCATCGTCTTATCCCGTCATTGCCTCCGAGTGTCATTCATTGGCATCTGCTGTCCCCCCAAGAGCTGGCTCAGTTTCACATTCTGCAGCAACTCAAGAGCACCTGTTCCCACCTATCCACAACCCCTTGTAACCCCTTTCCACCCCTTCACACCCCCCAGGTATCTACTGGCTCCTGCTCTCCCTCCAAGAGCTGGCTCAGTTTCTCATTCTGCAACAACTCAAGAGCACAACCCCTTGTCACCCCTTTCCACCTTTCACACCTGCAGGCATTTACTGGCACCTGCTCTCCCCCCAGAAGCTAGCCTAGATCTGCATCTTGCAGCAACTCGAAAGCATCCTATTTCCACCAATCCACAACCCTTTTTCACCGCTTTCCACCTCTCCATATCTCATTTTCACGCTGCTATCCCCTCATTTCCCCCAGGCATATACTGGCACCTGCTCTCTCCTCAAAAGCTGGCTCAGATCCGGATCTTGCAGCAACTCAAGAGCACCCTTGAAGCACAGACAGGCGCCGCCCTCCCTCTAGGACCAGACGAGGAGCTGCCGCCCGTTGCCGCCCGGCACGGGAAGGGGGGGCGGCGGAAGGAAGGGGGAAGGGGTGGGGGAAAGGTGGGGGAGAGGGGAGGCGTGGGGAGAGGGAGAGGGGAGAGGAGGGGAGGGGAAGGGAGGCGGAGTGAGAGAAAGGTGTGGAGGAGGGGCGATGATAGGGGCAGTGGAGGGGAGGAGGGGGAAAGAGAGTGAGCAGCGAGCAATGCTCCATTTCCCACTGTCCAAATGCTTCATGGGGTATTTCCTTTCTGTGTTTTTTTCTTCATTTTAAAGTTTGATATCAATGTGCTACTGTGTCTTCTCTGCTGAAGGTGTACAAAAATCCCAAGCAAACTTGAACGAATCACTTGGCAGCAAGTTGGCTTCTAGCAATAAAACTCTCTTGCCACAAGTGCCCCTGCCCACACAACTCTCTTGCCCTCCCATTCATGCCCTTGTGTAACCAGCCAGAGCTATCAAGTATGGATGATGGATCCAGCTGATCACATTCTTCCACATGCATCCCATCTCACCCTCACCCCCACGCTCACCCTCACCCTTACCCTACCCTCACCCTCACCCTCACCCTCACCCTCACCCTACCCTCACCCTCACCCTCACCCTACCCTCACCCTCACCCTCACCCCTCCGCCACTCTCCTTATCCTCTCCATCAGCCTGCTCGCCTGCCCCTCACCCCTCTAATGCGCCCACAGCTTCGATCCTCTGATGCCCTGCTTCCAGTCGCATGTGAGCCCATGAGCTTTGACCCACTACCGCCTCACTCCACCCCCATTCACCCCCTTAGTGTGGCCACAGCTTCGACCCCCTGATGCCGCCAGTCGCCCCCCCCACTGCCTTTCCTTTCAACATGTGAGGCATAACGATCCTTTGGGCGTGCAAGCGTTGAGCCGTTACCCCTCCACCACGCCCCTTAACACCTGCATCACTCAACCCTCCATTCACCACCCTAATGCGGCCACAGCTTCGACCCCCTGACGCCGCCAGTCGCCCCCCCCACTGCCTTTCAACATGTGAGCCCTTGACACTTGGAGGCTTAAAAGCACTCCACCAACCAACCTGCTCTCACCCTCCCCCCCCCCCCTCTCCTCTCTCCCCTGTGGTGCTCTGGCAATGCTGTCAGTGGTGCCGGTGGTGACGGTGCAATCAGACGGGAGGGCTGGCAGGGAGGGAGGGAGGGAAGGAGGGGAGAAAGCGGGAGAAGGCGGATGTTCTTGTCGGTGGTGCCTGCCGGTGGTGACGATGCAATCAGACAGGAGGGAGGGAGGGAGGGAGGGAGGGAGGGAGGGAGGGAGGGAGGGAGGGAGGGAGGGAGGGAGGGAGGGAGGGAGGGAGGGAGGGAGGGAGGGAGGGAGGGAGGGAGGGAGGGAGGGAGGGAAAGCGAAGGGAGGGAGGAAGGGAGAGCGAAGGGAGGGAGGGAGGGAGCGGGCGGAGGTTGGGTGAGTCAGTGCAAGTGATGGCATCTCAGCGCCCCTGGTGATACGACTTGAAGCCTCCCCACCTCGGCCCACCAAACTCAGCCGTGTAAGTTGCGCCCACAGCGCCCATGACGGAGCCAGGCGGCTGCCCCAGCGACCACAGCGCCCATGACGGAGCCAAGCGGCTGGTTTCTGAGAATTCTCAAAACCCATCAAACTCAGCCATGAGACGTGTCCCCACAGTGCCCATGGCGGAGCCAGGCGGCTGCCCGAGCGACAGCATGGCAGGCAGTCAGGACCAAGCAACGGACACTTATAGCACTAAGGCTGCGTCGCCAGCATGGCAGTCAGGGTGACTGTGGCAGAGAGTGTGGCAGAGAGTGTGGCAGAGAGTGTGGCAGAGAGTGTGGCAGAGAGTGTGGCAGAGAGTGTGGCAGAGAGTGAGAGTGAGAGCATGAGTGTAGCGGGATTCAAGGCGCGGGGGGGTCCCGGCGGCGTGGGGACGGCAATGCGCATTCCGCGGCACTACGCCGCAGATTGGGGAAGCCATAAGACGCAAGGTCATGAGAAAGGTAGGAACCGTGAAAACTGTTACAGATCTAAACTGCAAGGCGATGACCGTCGAGCGTCTCACTCGCTGCGCGGATCCTTGACATGGAAGTTGCGCTGATATGGTTTGCGCGGATATAGTTGCGCTTATCCATCAAGCCGAGGAGTGCGCTGATTGCTGCGCGGACAGTTGCGCCAGTCGTTTTGCGAATCGCTGCGCTGATGGTTGCGCCGATCGTTGCGCTGACCGCTGGGTTGAGCGCGGCGCTGATCGTTCCGCTGCTTGCGCTATTAGTTGCACTGATATTGCGCTGACCGTTGCGCTGATATCTACGCTGAAAGTTGCGCTGATCGTCAGATCGCTCCGCCGCGCGACGGAACAATCGTCACGACCGTGTCGTAACTCATTCTAGCTGTAACACTTCAGTACTATACTGCGGTAACTCTCTAGAAGTACCGTAAGCTGGACAGAGCAAGGCTAACTTCGCACTAGGCCAGTCAGTCAAGCGATAGCTACCGGGATCCTGCGAACGAGTGTTTTGAGGTCAAGTTTATCCAGAGGAATATCGAATCTCCAGCAGCCAGAGCCTGCGAACAAGTATACTAAGGTGAATAGTCACCAGACCGCATTTGAGGGAACCATAATTGCTGCTGGAGACGCGAGGTTTGGAGTTAGAACTCAGGAGAAACTACGAAAAGCGTTTCATTCATGTCCTAGCCATATTTTCACCTAATAAGTTTCACGACAGAACCCTGTCCAAAGTGCCATTCATACGAAAGTACAGAGTAATTAATTTTATAGAGAGTTACAAGTAAGAACCTAGACTTGATGCTAAGCTATCGAAGCCAAGTGAGCCAGATCCACTTGAGCCTCCACAGCAGCGCCTCGACTCCAAACCACCTTCTGATCTTCTAGTCTTCTCTGATCTTGGTATCTTGGTATCTTCAAAAGTCTTCTTGACCCCTCTTGGCCGTCAGAGGCAAAAGCCCCTGACGTTACACCCACGCACCACGATGAGGTGAGGGTCATTCGCGTGGGGTCTGCTTGGGAGGGAGTGGGGGGAAGGGAAGGGGGGGGGGGCGGGGAGAAAAGTGCTTGGGAGGGGGGGAAACGGTTAAAATTAGAGACGGGCAGATGAAAATTACGGGCAGATGAAAATGACGATAGGTCCACGATGATGTCACAATACAATGTTGTCAGAATGACGTCCAGCCGTCAAGAGGACGACCAGCCGTCATGATGCATACCTGAGCACACCTTCACCATCCATACCATTGTTAGTCAGAATGTTAATCAGAATGACGGCCAGACGTCAAGAGGACGGCCAGCCGTCAAGAGGACCCATACTATCGCCCGTGTGTGTGTGCCTAATCGAGTCTGTCTAACGCTCCTAATCGTTCTGTACCCACTAGCACACCTCTTACAAGCCTGGCGTTTGCGCTGGTTGCTCCCGCTTGCGCTGGTTGATCCCGGCCCCGCCAAAACTGCAGAAAGGGCGGGCTGGGAGGGGAAGTCAAATTCCACCTCGCTCCTCCTTGCTCCACGCTCGTCGCAGCCACCGCGCTCCACGTGCGTGGAGCCTCCCTCGAGACCAACTTACCGTACCTGCAGCACAGCCGACAAATAAAAAAACATTAGTCATTTTGAAAACGAGACAGCGCGCTAAAAGCGAGAAACGTGCGGAAGCGTGACAGAGAGAGAAGCGCAAAAGGCGACGAGCGGAAAGGTGAAGAGACGACGGGACGAACTGACCACCACAGCAGAGAGAAGCGCCGTCACGCACCGTGAGCCGCGCTGTGCCGTGCTCTGATGCCCCGAAGAAGCGTCGCCACGCGGCCCGCGAGCTCTCATCCCCGCATCGCATGCGCTAAAGAAGAACGCACACAAAAATAAGTTAGTTTCATAATCAAAGAAAAAACTTAACGAAATCTGACGGCACTTACCAGGCAAGGGAGACCACCTCCCGCGTTACCTCCGTTGCTCGCCGCGGGCCCCGCGAGCTCCCCCTCCCGGTAACGCCGCTCCTGCACTAAGACGGAGCAGACAAGAAGTTAAAACCTTGAAAAGCAAAAGCAGGAAACTGAAACTGATACTCACCACGAGAGAAAGAAGGCTGCAGCCGTTGTCCCTTGTCGCCGCCTGCGCCGTTTGCTCCCCCTCACGCTCCTCCTGGCTGCACTAAGACGAATCACACGGAAAGAAGTTAATTTCTGGAAGAAAACGAAAGCAGGAAACTGAAACTGATACTTACCACGAGAGAAGAAGGCTGCAGCCGCCGGGACTTTTCTCGTTGTTGTCGTTGACGGTCGGTGTAGTCGTTCAGTGGAGCGGGAGGGGGGGCGGAGAGGTCATCAGATTTAACAAATAACATCTCTTGTAATGTGAAGGCAGTTCCAAAAGGTTGTAATGTCGAGCATTCCATCTCTCTTGGTCTTTAACCATCACAATGGAACTAACCACCAAGAGGATGCTGTGAAACTAAGCTATCGGCCGTTATAGCTTAGTTACACAGCAACCTCATGGTGGTAAGTCTCATTTTGGTGGTCAAAGGTTTGAAGAGATGGAATGCTGGGCTTTACAAGCTTATGGAGCTGCTTACACATAAAAAGAGATGTTAAATGTTGAATCTGATGACATCCGCTCCTCCTGGCTGCACTAAGACGAATCACACGAAAAGAAGTTAATCTCTGGAAGGAAACGAAAGCAGGAAACGGGAAGCGATGCTTACCAAGTTGATGTTGCCGCCAAGCGCAACGTGTGAGTCCCGCCTGAGACACGCATCTCGCCCGCCAGACACGTCGTGCGCCCACGAGGCGCGACCGAAGTAGCGTCGGCATCCGTCCTCGGTCACCCGTATGCCGGCTGACGGTCACCGTCTGCAAGTCGTTGAGAAGGAGACGGAGAATCAGAACGAAATTGTCGAGAACAAAATAAAAGAATCTGCTGAAATCGACCTCACACGTTACCTCAGGCTTGAGCGAAGAGATCCGCGCGACGGACGAAGCCGACGGTAGAGCGACGGAAAAACCACCAAGCGACGGCAGGGAGAAGCACCGCCAAGCGCCGTGAGTCCCGCCCAAAGGACCGTCGCCATGCGGCATTCCTCTCCATTCGTCGCCGTCGCCATACGTCGCCGTGCGTCGTGCGCGTTAAATTCTGCAGAAAAGCAAAGCAACGCGTTAGGATGTAGGCAAATAAAAATAAAAACGTGTTGAGAACAGATTG